AAAATGGGTTGGGCTTCCTGAACCATGCAAATTTGGTGCCGATGAATCCCACGACCTTGGAGGCGACCCTGGGCCCTTAAAAAAAAAACTTTTGAGGCATGCAGTTAGCTGATGGCCTCCAGCCACTGCCAAGCACTTCACGGTGGCCCCAGCCATAACAGAGCATGGAGAGGCCTGGACCCCTTTCAGGGGAATCTGCCTTCGGGTTGGCCGAAACTCAGATGCACGTACGTGGCTGAGGCTCTCCCTGCCCAGTCCCACTACCCCTGCTTATTTCTCACAGTGTCGACCCCAGTAAGCCTCTTACCCTCCTAACTCCATTTCAGTGTCCCCCGAAGAACCCAGGAACACATGCCTTGGAGAGCCCAGAAGCTTGCATCTTGCAATTGGTACTTTTCCAAGGGTCATTCTGACCTGAGATCCTGCTGACCTTGGAACCCCAGCCTGCCTCCTTGTATGCAGGGGGGCTCAGAGAAGCCCAACCTGGGAGGAGTGGGAAGTGGGGGGCAAGGGCAACTACTGGTAAGGCCTCAAGCATACCCCGGTTTTCCTCTGAAGCAGTTTGTCCTATGGGAACCCAGAGCACCTGGAGGCCAGGCAGGAAGGGGAGCCAATTTCATCTAGATCCTGTCCCAGGCCTTGAGATTTCCACTCCCAAAATAAGGAGACTGGAGGTCAGTGTCCCACTGCCCAGGTGCAACATGTTGCCTGCAGAAGGCCCTTCCAGTCCCCCTTCTCCCACACTCGCCAGATCCAAATGCACACGGCAGTTCCCCAGAGGGGCATGTCTTACTCAGCAGGCCCCGGGAGCAGGAGACCCACTCTGGGGCTGGGAAAAGAGCATGGTCATTCACTTCTCTATGCTGCAAAAGGGGCATACGGTCTTACCTCCCAGGTTGCAGGATGATGAGGATTCACACTTGGCATAGCTCTGCTGCAGGGAACCAAGCAGGGGCCATTCCGGGGCAGGGCAGGGTGTCTGCCATGCTGCCAAGGTCTGAGGGCTGGCTCTGGCCCCCAGCGTCCACCCTGTGTTCCCCATCCCAGCATCTACTGCCACCCTTGCCAGTCCAGGACTTGGCAGCCCCCACCCCCATCTGAGCCCCAGTGCTCTGGACTCTACGTGGGTCCTCCTGCTCAGGGTAGGACAAGAACATTTCACCTTCCCAAAGAATCCAGAAAAACGATGAGTCTTTAATTCCTTCCTTTGCCTGCTCAGCACAGAATCCTCAGGGGGCTGTCCCACCAGCTGCCAGCCATCGGTTTACTCCCAAATTACGATGTTAATAGGGTTCATTGTTGCCAGACCACCTGGAGTTTCTCCTCTACTGAACTCATTTTGTCTCTGCTCCTTGCTTCATCCCACTTTCTGACTTCACACAGGTGAGTGGACAGTGTCCATGCAAAGCTAAACAGTGCATCTGAGTTTTCCTCACAGCAATGGCGTTGTCATTTTTACAGATGGGGAAACCAAGGCACAAAGGGTTCAAATGACTCGACCAGGGTCACACAATTAAGGGGCAGGGTGAGGAAGGAAGCAGGCAGCTGCCCTCCAGTCTGTACCTTTCATGCCACACTGCCCCCTCCCCAGGGCACAGGGACTCTGTTATGGCCTTCTCTACTGTGCCAACCCCCACCCTGGCCCCACACTGACCTGCCAGGCCTGTTTCTTTGTCACATTCCACCCAGCACTCTTGCCAGTTGCCACCACCCACATTTCAGAAAACCAGCAAATTACCTTACTGGGTTTCAGCTCCCTCCCTCACAGACTCCTGGGCTCCCACATGGCTTATGTCTAGCCACCTTGGGCTCCCACATGTTGCTCACCTCCCAGCCTTTGCCACACAGGTTCCCTCTGCTCAGCCCATCCCTCGCCCAAGAACCATCACCTCCAAGAAGCCATCCTGATTGCCACAGTCATTTCAGTGCCTGAGTAACATGGCCCCAGGAAGGCTTGTCCCGAGCCAACTCCAGTGCCTGGAAACAGTCTACTCCTGCCTTCCCTGTGGGTGGCTGCTCTTTGCACTGGTCTGGGCCTCTTTCTACGGAGCCCCTCGTGCCCTTACTGGAGACCTCCTGGCCAGAGTAAAGGGGCCAGGTTCTAGGTGAGGGTCTAGCTCTGACCTTGGCCACCACCCACTGTCATGGTGAGGGCTGCCAATCACCTGCATCAGAAACACCTGGGCTGCTTGTTGAAAACAGATTCCCAGGCCCCACTCTGGATCTAAAGATCATATGCATATTCTCTAGGTAGGCCCAGGAATCTACATTTTAAACAACTTCCCAATATCCTAAAACACGAAGACATTGCCAATAACTGTCCTTCAATTTACAAATCAGATTCCGGTTTTCTACTGACACTGTGCAGTGTCTGCTCAGCTCAACACAGTCACCAGGGGGATCAGTAAACAATGGGGTCAGGAGGGGAAAGACAAGAGCCCTGCCCTTGAGGGGTTCTGTCCAGTTTTAGGCATGGGCAGTTTGCAGTGTGTTAGCAGAGACCCAGAAACAGAAGATGGGAGTTAATGCCCAGCTGGATTTTGAAGTATGTGTAGGAGTTTTCCAGGGAGGTTGGGGTTTGGGGTTGAGGACTGGTTTGCTGTGGTTGAAAGACAGGCTGAGCCCTCCACAGGCACGGGGGGCTGTGAGCTCTCTCTATACCCTGCAGACACCCCCACATCAGGTCTGGGCCACTGGCCCTCAGAGAAGACAGAGAGAGGTACCAAGTGGTGTCAACTTGAGGCCATGGAGACAGGGAGTTGGTAGAGATGAGCATGTGGCGGGTTGAGTTATGTGCCCCCCCACAACCCCCATGTCACTCTGGTCTGACAGCAGCTAAGATGCCATGGGATCCTGGGTTTCTGGGTGGCACCAGCATGTGTGGCCAATTCCTGGTGGCTGGCGTGGCTAGTACAACCAGAATCCATCCTGGATTCCAGGTGGGGGCTGGCCTGTGCCCTGCGGGGAGGGAGAGGGGAGGGAGAGGGAAAGGGAGGCCCCCCCTTTGCTGGCCCAACACTACCACCTGCCTGCTGTGTTCAGTACTACAGCCTGGTGCCTGGCAGAGCCCTTAGGAGGACAGCGAGGCCCACAAGCACAAGGGATGGGAAAACATAGCTCAGAGAGCACTCAGAGCATCCCCAAGACCATACAGAATGTCACTGAGAGGCCTGGCTTTAAAACTCTCTGCTCATTTCGCCTCATGGCACAGGCTCACAGGGTAAACCTGGGGTGACATAGAGTTCCAGGGAACTGGGCAGTCCTGAGGATGCAGACCCCTCCCCGACCCCACACCCAATTTTAGGACCTCCCAGGTCCACACCCCAGAGAGGCAGGGTGCTGGGCTAGCCTGGGCACTGGGCACCACCACCAGGTAGGAAACGGCAATTTCTACCTCCAGTTCTTCCTTCCACGGCCCCCAAAATCCTGTGGGGGTCTGTAAAGGGCTGAATGTGAGGCTGAAGGCCACTGTCTGATGAGAGGTAGAGGCCCCTGATGGCAAGGCCCCATCAGAGCCCTGGAAGGCTGGTCCCAGCTGAATGAACACCATCCCCTTGGCCAGACACACTGGCCGGCTCTCAGGCCCCTCTCTGCATATTTGGAGTCATCCGTCTCTGGGTGGGCCAAGAGGCCAGCACCCCAGGGCTGCCTGGGCCAAGAGGCTGAGTGATGCAAACAGGGTGGATTCCAGGATCTCAGGAGCCCTGGGCTTAGCATGACTGAGCAAATATAAGAACCCCTGCTTTGCAGACTATCTCGTGGGGTTCCCCCTGTCAGTACTAGACCTGTTGAAGGGTATGGAGTCCACCACCAGAAACAGACCCAGGACTCAGCACGGCAGCCCCACACCCTCCAACCATGTGAATCTCCATACTGCCTACTGTCTCCACGTCTGCAGGCCCAACCCTCCCCTGCAGACAGAGCCTGATGGGTCACGGGCCAGAGGCCCTCCTGCATCGTGCAGGGCTGATCTCTCGGCTCTGCTGGGGTGGAGGTTCTCTGACCTTTGCTTAGAGAAGGGGGCAGACACCAGAGGCCACACTCAGGCCAGCAATACCCTCAGGGGCAGTGGGGTGACAGAGGGGTGGCTATGCATTTCCTAAGACCTGCTATTTGCACTGGGCCTTCAGGCCAGGCCCGGGCAAGGGCAGCCATCCTACTTTTGGGTCAACAGGCCACACGTGCCCCCATACCTGCCTCACCACAGTGCCCTCCGCATATACCTCTAAGACCCTGGGCAGACACACAAGAGGACAGGAAGAGGGCACAGGTAGGCAGCCAGTGTCCCGAATGCCCTTCTGGAATCAGGCACCCAACTTAGCAGCAGGGGCTGAAATTCACCCTGTGACCACGGCCAGGCAGGGTGTCCAGCTTTGGTGAGAGTATGGCTGGCTGCAGGCTCTGCTGTGCTGCACAAGGGAGAACAGGAGGGATGGTTACAGTGACGCCACTGGCGCCCAGACAGGGAGGAGCAGAGAACCACGGCCCATCTGGAGGTCCAGCTCTACTCCCCAAGGAACACAACAGGCGACAGGCGTGAGGGTGGGACTACTTTCTGAGACGTGTTATCCCAAGTGGCAGCTGTTTCAAGACCCACACTGGTAAGTGGTGTTCCTCTTCCTGCCACTCAGCAAAGCAGTGGCAGCCAAGGGTCTGTTCGTTCCTTAACATGACATGGGCAGGAAAAACGCTAGATGCATTTAACTGCTGAGGACTGACAATGGCCATCGTGGACACCCTCGGCATGAGTGGGAACACTCAGTCCTCCCCTCTGTCCCCCACTGTGGGTGTGATGTTTGATACTCTCACCAGGTATATGCCTATTCCATGCCCTCGTGGTGACACCCTTACCGTCAGTGTAAGCATTCACCTATAAAGCAGATTAAGGCTGGTGAGTTGAGGGGCGTGCCATTGGACCTTCCAGGGTCACACACCCCCTTTCCTCCAAGTCCCCAGTTGCCTGGCCTCCTGGTCCAAGGTAGAGAAGCAGCCTTTGTGCCTTGAGTATAATTTGCTTTTTAATGAGAACAACGTGTAAATGACAGAATGCCACCGCCGTGCGCAGATGGCGGTCACAGAATACCCATCAAATTCATTCTGCCCAAGGAAGGGAGGACACAGAGGAGCTGGTGAGCTGGCAGCCCCCATCCCCCTCAGTCCTGCAGATGATGGGGGTCACCGACTGTTGGCCTGCACACGCCTCTTGAGCGGTAAGCAAAGATTGAAAGCACAGCAGCAATAATACTGGGTAAGTCCTTCCTTGCGTAAAACATCTGAATTAATTCATTGAAGGTATCAAAAATATACCCTGTAAACCAATACATCATTTACACCTGCCTTTCCTGCCCACCACTGCGGCAACGATGTGTGAAAAAAAAGTCCAGTTCCTCAGAGCATCTGCTTGCCCCAGGCCACACCTGGCCCCTTTGCCTGCCCACCTGGCCTAACTTGGTTTTCAGCAGTCTCGTTGGCTAGGGCAGCCCGTGGGGACTGGGACAAGAGTGCTGGGGCCTGGACAGGGCCCGTGTCCGTCTGTCTAGAGTGCTAAGCGGGATGGGGATGGAGGGAGGGTGCGGGGGCTGCTAGCTCAGTTTAGACTTTGGTTCCAAATGCGTTAAGGGGGGAGGCAGTGGCATGGAAGGTGCATGGTCATCCTGCTTTGGGTCCCTGGCCGCCCCGGCTGCGTGCATGTGGCCATCACACACCCTCCGTGCCCCCTCCCTGGCCCCCTCCCCTCCCGAGCACCAGGTAAACATCCCCTGAGTAAGGTCACTGCACAGGGCCAGCCCAGGGCGGGAGTCGTAGTTAAGGCTTTTTAGACAGGCAAGGATGCCGGCCGGCTCTGGACAGACAGACAGGCAGGCACGCAGGCAGACTCAGGGGCTCCTTCCTCGGTGGGGGGAGTCGGCAGCCACCTCACTCCTTGCCTGGCTGCTCCGGCCACTTGCTGGGCCCTGGCGCCGCCCCCCGACCCCATTCTGACAGTCACTCGCTGTCGGAGAGTGTCTCATACTGCGAGCAGAGCAGCGGCTTGGGCTCCTCATCCCAGGCATGATGGGGGCCAGCAAGGGGCCCACTGCCCGCAGGGAGACCAGGTGGGGGCGGGGAGGCCATGACACCTGCCTGCAGCCGCATGATCAGGGGATTGTAGGGGAACGGTGTGGAACCTGCCAGAAAGACCGAGAGACGCCCAGGAGGCCCCATGAGCCAGGTAATCCCCCCAGGCCCACCCTCTTACCACACCAGGAACGGGGGCATTGGGCTCTGGTGTCCAGCAGCTGTCCCAGCCCCTCCCTTCTAACTCCTGGAAGGTTTCTCAAACCTGCCCACCTCCCCTCACCCCCTTCACTTCCAGCCCCTGCGTGCCAGGGCCACCTGCCCCCTGAGCCAGCAGCAGCCTCGCTGTTCCTGCCCTGCCCTGCCCTGGGTCTGTTCCACAGCCAAGTGAGCTCTTGAACCTACCCTAGGTCACGGGCTTCCCCACCTAAAGCCTTCCAGGGGCTCCTCCCACTCATAAAGGAAGCCTGGCTCCCTCATGACCCACCAAGTAGGATGGGTCCCTCTCTCTTTACCTTCGGTGTCCTTAGTCCTCTGGTCAGGGCCAGCGGCCGGCTTCCCTGGCCAGCCCTGATTACAGCTTCACTGCTCCCCACCCCCTGCCCCCTGCCCTTATAAGTGCTTCCTGACTACCTCCAAGCCAGGGCTCAGCTGGCAGGCCCTTCTCAGAACAGGCCTGACCTATTCCCATACTCCACATGCAGCAGGTGTGTGGGCATGCGGCCCCCTGGTGACGCAGCTTAGCAGGCCCCTCCGCCCACAGCCCGTCTGCCCACCTGCGGACGAGGGCCGGTCCTCCCACACGCGGTTGGTGAGTGGAGTCCGGCGGTTGCAGTCTCCCTCCGAGTGCACAGAGGAAACGGAGGGCGGCCGGTCCCCAGACGCCAGGCCTGGGCCAGGGGACTTGGCTTTTCGGCTGCTGGGTCTGCCGGAGACTTTGGCCTTTGCGCCACCACCTGCAGGGAGACACATGGGAAGGGGCTACGTTGGACTGCAGAGATAAAACTCACACCACAGGGCAGGGGTGAGAGGCCCTGGCCACCTACCTCCCAAGCCCCTGTGGAGGGAGAAAGCAGCTCCCACACCACTGGGAAGCCAAGGAGGTCAACCAGGTGGCTAGACCCAGCCACCAGCCCGGATCCTGGAGGCGAGTTTCCATTTGGGGAGTGGGCTGCACTGTTTGAAAAGCTCTCTCAGGCTGCCCTGAGGCCCACCTACCCACACAGGGGCTGACACCCTGAGCATGAAGCCTTGGCCTCTGGCTTGCCCCTCACCACTGCCCCAGGGCTGTGCAGTGCTGGGCAGGCTGTAGGCCCTCTTCAGAGGAGCCAGGGCCCCCAAGGCCACACCTGGGCTCCACTAAGTCCAGGAACTTCCTGGGGCTGCAGTGTCCAGGGGGGACAAGTGGGCCCAAGGGCTCCTCACTCAGCACTTGCTCTGACATGCAGAGTGTTGATCAGGGACCTGGAGCAGAGGAGGAGATGCCTCCCAGGATTCCAGACTCCTCTGAGTTTGGGATGGCACCCAGACACTGCGTCTCCTCCCCAGGAGGCCCGAGGGCCAGTTGTGAACACGCATAGTGGCCCTAGCAGGTGCTGAGCCCATGCGTCTGGCTGCCGTGAGCTTACGGGTCCCCGCAATCCACAGAGAAGGTGGGTCTAACTCCAGCCTGCTCTCCCCCAAGGAAACACAAGATGGGCCAGGACACAGGCATCCTCAGGACCTGTGTCCAACAGGGAAGGAAGGTGGGGCAGGGCTTGGGCAGCAGTGTGAGTGTTTTTAGAAAAGCAGCAGCTCCTTTGGGCCTACAGGGCAGGGGGTGCCGGGGTGACCAGATACTCTGAGGTGCCCACCCAACTCGGGATAAGTCAACTAACTCCAGAACCATGTCAAACACGCACAAAAATAAAGTCACAAGCTCCAAAGCTGGAGGGGTTGGTCAGAGGAGCGAAGGTGCGAGGATTAATGACACCGGGGTGGGGACAGAGGGGTGGGTGGGCGGGAGAGGCCTGCAGACCTGGCGAGGCGAGTGCGTGTTCGCTCCGTCCGTCAGCAGCGGTTATGGGCATAGCAGCAGGCAGGCTGGCGCTGGCATTCAGAGGGTTAAAAGCATTGGCGCTGAGCGGGTGCTCCTCCCACTGATCATATTTACCCATGAGCGCCTTTCTAATAATGGCCTCCAGCCCCATGTTGGTGCTGGCATGCTCCTGCACCGCCTGGCTTCTGCAGGTCATAAGGCCTGGGAGAGAGACACACACACACAGGGGCCAGGAGGGGCCAGGGACAACGGAGAGAGGGAGAGAGAGAAGCAGGGGGGGAGGGAGGAGAAGAGAGAATACACAGTGAGCACATTTCAGCAAAGCAACATGTTCTTTACTTCCCGGCCTCCCATTTTTCCTGCAGGGTGATGGTGGGGACTGGAAGGTACCCTCTGACTTGGGCCCTTGATGCTTAGGGACTCCCGGGGAGGCAGGCTTGGGAGGTTAGATGACCACCCCCCAGCCTCTTTCCTACTTGGTTCCCTTAGTCCCAGCTGGCCTTAAAATTCCCAGTGGCCTTAAAAGGGGGAGCAGGTGAATCACAGGGCCTCCCTGTTTGAGGGGGAACAGGCTGTGGGGAAACTAAGTCAAGCCAGAGCTCAGTACACGGCCTAGGGGGTACACCCTGGGTTCTTGGGGCTGGCGGGGTACTGGGGGGGAGGTCACAGGGGAAGGTGGCCAGACGGTTCTCCTGCTGCCCCCCACTGCCCCTGCCCTAAAGGCCTGGGATCCACAGCCCCTGCCTGCCCCTCAAAAACTGGGCATGACTCTCTTCCCACCCCCTCTCCCCACCCGGAGCTGAGGAGAGACAGGTGCAGAGACGAACGGTGAGGTGGGGATCGTAGCCATGCAGTTACGGCGTGCGGGGGACAGGGCAGAGCTAGAGACAATTGCGTGACACCCCTGGCCCAGCCACCCTCACCCCAGCCACCCCATCACAAAGTGGTCGAATCAACAAATTGGTCCCAGACGGGACACCCACTACGAAGTCACTTTAATTAAGTCTCCTCCTCTGTTCACCAGGTTTTCTGTCCCTTTTTTTTCTCTTGTGAACAATTCAAACCCTTTCTTGTGAACTTCTGCAAACCTGGGAAATGCACCTCCTTCAGGCATTTTTGTTAAACCAGACTTTGCCGACTGAAGTTCAAGCTCACTCTGCCTGCTGGTGGGCATTATTTTCATGAATTTTAAAACTTCCATTCTGAGGGAACAGTACAAATACCAAATGACCAAATAATGAGACTTTCTGACCCCCAACTTGACTGATGGCTTCTGTGAGGCTGCAGCTTTTAAAATCACATTTCTGCAGCAACTGTTTGCTGCCTACATTTTGGTTTTCTTGTCTTCCTTTTAGTTAGAAACTTGCTTGCAGCCAGGGATGCCCTATCCATCATTTCATAGCTGTGTCTTGACCACATTTCATCAGCACTTATAGAAAAAAGCCATATCCATTGAGAAAAGGCAAAATTTCCAGAAGGGAAAAGTATTCATGATCCTACACACTAAGAAAACATCAGGAAGTGGAAAAAATGACACAAATCGTGATGGTGTCTTGCCAGGTCAGTGCCCAGCGATCACAGATTTCATGAAGGCTTCCACCCAAGGCCACAACTCCGTGATGGATGCTGCTTGGCAGGAAGCTTGACTGTCTCCATTACAAAGACAAAGTCTGAAGTGGCAGCTAAGTAGTAAAGACCAAATTTCTGGGGAAACGTGTGGGTGTGGACTAAAGTGCTTTAAAAAAAAAAACAAATACAATTCACATACATGTGTTAGCACAAAATCTTCATTCTACTGCATGAACTTCTACATACATATATAGCTGTGTTTCTAGTGCCTATGTCAAAATTTGGAACACTCTAGAAACATTCATTTCTAATCATCTTGTTGTTTCGACCAAATTGTCTCCTCTCCATTGCCTGAGGCCCAGTGAAGCCCCCAGTGTCTGGGTAGCCAGACGTGCCCAGGCGAGGCCCCCCACTTGGAGGCCCCGATGATCCCGGTAAAATCCAAGGTTGTGTTTTGCTCACCACATCCCCAGGGTTCAAGGCCAGCACATCTCCCCTGTTCCCTCTGGCCTCAGCTCCCACAGACGGACTGGAACACAGACAGAGGCAACAGCCCCACAAACGTGCCTGGCTACCAAGGGATTCGGCTCTGGGCTCAGCCGTTCCTCACCAGACTTGCCGAGGCACTTCCTCAGTCCTTCGTGGAGCAGCATAAATACATGGCTTGTCCTACGGAGGCTGGGGGTCTAACCCCAAGGGCCCCCCAAGTCCAAAATATCATAAAAGGCTTAAGGTCTAGCTTAAAAATGAGAGTTAATTTTATACCCTGTTCCCTGGCTTGACTTCAAGTACAATTGATGTTCTGTCTATAAAACACACCCATGTGGACCCAGAATGAAACTGTGTATCCCAAACACAGGCCCAGTCCCTGTCCACACACTCAAATTTCCATCTAAGGCCCTGGCAGCTGAGCCACTAAGTTCCCAGGTAGCTGTGTGTACGTGTGGTACTGTACTAAACGTACCAGGAGGCCTGGAAGTTTAGCTCTTTGAAGACCTCTTGAAGAGCCTCTCTGCCTCTCGTGTGAGTCGGTGTCCCTCACTGTAGGGTTTGGGTCACAGGAAGGGACACAGTTGGACTAAGACAGGCCCCCCACTGACCTGCAAAGGCCATGCTCCCTAAGTCTCCTTCTGGGTCCACACCCAGCCTGCCCTCTCTAGGGCAAGGCAGTGACTGGGGAGGAGAGCGGGGAGGCAGCTGGGTGGCCATACAGCCTGGGTCTGGACAGTTACCTGCTCCAGTGATGGCGGGCATGTTGAAGATCTCCGTCCCAGGCTGGCCGATATCTGGAGGGGGTACAAGATGTGTGAGGCCTGAGGGCCCACAGGCCCTGGGCAATCACCTGCTCCTACTTGCCTATCTGGTTTGGGCAAAGCATACCACCTGGAAGCTTGTCCAGTGTAGAAGGATTTAGCAGGTCTGGGGCAGGCCCTGAGAGTCTGCACTTCTAACCAGCTTTCTGGGTGCTGACCTGCTGGCGCACGGGCTGCACACGGCAAGGCTCTGGAACAGTCTGGAAGGCTGTTCCTCCAGGCCCGGAAGGAGAAAAGCCTATGCAAAGCCCCTGAACTTCCCTGGCTCCCGAGCCTTCTTGGGGGCAGGAGCCGGACAGTCTTTATTCATGGCATGCCTGCTCACGTGTTCTCTAAGGAACTGCTATGTGCAGGCACTGTGCTAAGGGTGGAGGAGCTAAGCTAGGCTAGTCCAGGAAGCTCATAAATGAGAGAGAAATCACAACGTGATGAGCACTGTGTTTGGGTGACACATGGAGCTCTTGCATGGGTCTGAGTCTAATCCCTGGTGCAGGTTCGGGGCTCAGCACAGACCCATTCATCCAAGTATTCACTGGGTACCCACTATGTGCTGGGCACCACTGCATGTGCCATGCTCTGTGCCAGCAAGCGCCCAGAGCAAAAAAGAGGCTGCCTGGCACACCTTGAGCATGGGGTGATGGGCCAGGGGGAGAGGGGTCAGCAGCTCCACCTGGCTCTGGAAAGCATCCTGTGGGTTCCTGCTGCCAAGTGGCTCCCACCTGGCCCCTGCTTCTGGGGGAGCTGGTAGCCCCTTACTGTATTCTGGCTCGTTCCGGTTGTGGGTGTTCAGCTTCTTGTTGATCTCTTGTTTCTTAGACTTGACCATGGCAGAGTTGCTCTCGGTCAGTTTGCTGAAGAAGGCTGGCGGCTGGCTGGTGTTGCCCGGAGACTTGGAGCCCATCCTGCCGCAAGGAGCAGACAGCCAGCCCAGGGTGAGTTCACTGGGCACTGGGCTTGCACACTTTGGCGATGGGGCCCTTACCACCTGAGCTGCCTTAGGAATTCAGAACTTAGCTTCTCTAGCCCCAGAGCAGGGGTGCCTACATCCCCTACCTTTTAGGGACCACATCTCCTGCAGTTTCTTTAGTTCGCCTACCCTTAGGCTCAGGGTATTTCTGAAGAGCCCAGGCTGCCCTAGTGGGCCACACCTGTCTACCTGCAACAGCCTGACCCCCTGAAAAGGGTCATGGGAACTAGAAGTGGGCTCAGATCACATCTTTCCCCAAGGCCAGCAGGCTTAGCTTTTTTCTCTGCTTCTACTCCACTCTTGATTGGTCCCAAACAGGGCATTATTTCTCAGATCCTCAACAAATGCTGGCAATAAAGACACAGTCCAAGGCACAGGAATCTGCACTACAGTCCCCCACCTGTGTACTGAGCCCTTGTTAGCCCCCGGTTGCATAGCAGTGGACCCATGCCACGGGCTGAGCCCTGGACATCCTGGAGTGGATCCTGAAGGTACCTGGGCTCTGCCTGCTCCCCATCCCGGTACAGAAGTGGGTACATGGCATTCCGGGTATGCCCAGGCTCTGCTGTGCCCTCTGGAGGGGACACGGGCTCGATGGCATCCTCACCACTGCCCAGGGCCGACGTCTTGCTTGGCTCTGGAGACCTGGGTGGAGTGAGGGTCAGAGCTGTGGTCAGGGCTCGGAGCTCCTCCCTGAAGGGGATGTGCAGAGCACCCCTCTCTTTACCTGTTACCCCCTGTCTCACCCCAAACCACGGCTCAGCACACTCTTCCTATATAGGGCAACAGAGTCAATATTTTAGGCATTGTGGGCCACTTGTACACTCACTCTGCTGCATATTCGTTTTTCTAAACAGCCCTTTCAAAACATAAAACCACCTTAGCTCATGGACATGCAAAAGCCGCTGTGGGCTGGATCAGGCCTGTGGGTGGTAGTCAGTGGACTCCTGCCGCCCACCCCCATGCTGCTCTGCTCCCCAAAGATATCCCACTGGCTTCCCTCCTCTGTCTCACTCACACAGTGCTCCTTGAAACTGCTCCCTTCTTCCTAGAGCTGGGGGCCCTCTCCTCTCCGGCCCCAGGGCCTCCTGGGGTCACCAGGAGCAGGTGTGTGCAGCTGCTGGGAGGGCTCTCAGATCACACAGCTCTGGTGTGAACCCAACTCTGCCACTTACTGGCTGTGCCCCCATGGGTAAGTCAATTCACTTCTCCATGCCTAATTTCTTCATCTGTGAAATGGGGATAGCTGCCTACACTTCCTGGGTTGTGAGAATCCTGGTTAACACCCACAAAGCATTTAGCTTGGGGCCCAGAACCCAAACAATGTGATACATATATCAGCTATTATCCATCAGCAACGTGGCCTTGAGCAAGCTCCCCACTTCCCCAAGCCTCAGTTTCTCATATGTGCAGTGGCACGAGGCAGGCCTTGCATTTTGTTGAGCTCTACCCTCCTGCAGCAGACAGCTGACCAGCAAGGGCACCCAGCCCCCAGCACTCACCTCTTGCCCCCTTCACTGTGGGGTGAACCACGGGCTGGGGCGCCGTGGTCTGGGGGTGGGAGGTAGAGATCACTGGGTGGGCGGCGGAGGTCCAGGACGGGGCAGCTGGCTCCAGGAAAGGAGTAGAGGGGAGCAGGGAGGGGTGCGTTGAGCTGCTGTGGGTGGTGCCGCGTATAGTCCTGTGTAATGACCTCCTACAGACCGAGGGTCAGGGAGGGGTGAATGGATCAGATGGCAGCCACCCCACCAGAACCTCCCACCTGGGGGTGGAGGATGCTGGGGAGGTGAGGGCTACACTGAGCTTTGGGGGCAGAACCCTGGCTCAACTCTTGGGTCCCTGGGTGATTTGGGCCCGCCCACAGCAGCCTCAATGTGTCTGCGTGCACAGGGTCAGGGGCTTGGCAAGAGATCTCACACTGGTGGCACTCAGATGGGTTAAATGCCACTGGCCAGAGCATGTAAGATGTGGATCATGGGCTGACATGCCTGAGGCTCCATTAGCAGGATGAGGGGTGCTACAGCATCCTAGGTTGTGACTCTGGGATACTTGGCATGGCTTGCCCTAGATCCCCAGTCCACCCAACCAGGACTCAGTTTACCCATTAGACCAAGAGTCTGTGTGTGATCCCACCCATTTCCTGGTACCTGCACCCCAGGTGCAAAGGCAATGAGGAGGGGACAGAGAAGGGGGTAGTTACACTGATGTGCTGTGCCAGGGTGACCACCCGCTGGTGACCTTTGACCCCTGGGGTGGTCTGGAGCAGTGGGCTGGATGAGGGCTGGCTCTCAGGCAGCGGCCGCAGGTGTGGGAGGTGTGCAGCCTCACCACCAAGCTTCCCAGGGCCTGCAGGACAGAGTAGAGCTGGTTAGTGGGTGGGTGGCAGATGTGGCATGTGCCTGGCAGAGTGCTGTTCTCGAATCCCAGCTCTGCCCTCTGATTCCTCCACCTCTTCATACCCCGGATTCTTCTCTGGTGATGTGGTCACTACTATGCCACCTCCTAGGGCTGTGGGGAGCAGGGGCCGTGGGGGCAGTGCCCTACCTGGCTGCTTGTGCCGCAGGTCCCCCTCCAGGTGGCTCCTGTCGAGCTCCTCAAGGTGCTTGGGGAGCCCCTTGTCGTGGGCCAGGCTGGGTGAGCTCACGGGGCTGACAGGCTCCACCCCATCGGGGCTGTAGCTGCCCCCGCCATGGTAACCTAAGCGGGGGGAGGCCGGGTCAGGCCGGGGGTACTTGGGACCAGCTGCCCTCCCAGTCCGCCCCCAACGCTGGCTGGGGTCCCCAGGCTGGGGGGGATTTGAGCAGATGGAAAGAGAGAGGGGGCCAGAGCAGGGGCTGCTGGCCAGCCAGGATAGGGGCGAATGGGGAAAGGAGGGAGGGGGTACTGTGGGGAGAGAGACAGATGGGCACAAAATGCAGAGACCGGGCCACCGGGCAAACAGCTGACAGACAGACCTAGGGAGAGAGAGCGAGAGAAACACAGACTGGAAGGAGAGAGACAGACCCAGTGGTGGGGACTGGGGGAGGCGGCTCTGGGGAAGGGGGTGGGAATGAGGTCTCTCAGGGATGTGTCAGGGAGTGGCACATAGTTCCCAGGGGCCCCTGCCTGGGCCGCAGCCCCCATCCAGCAAAGAGGAGCCCTGAGCTGGGATGCAGGATGCAGCAGACCCCACCCCCTTGGGGATGCTGGGTAGCAGGTCAGCAAAGGGCACACAGGGCCAGGGCAGCCCCAAGACTCCCTTGGAACCTGGGCACGAATGGGGGGGATTCCCAGCTCCTCCTGGAAAGTGGGGTGCTCCCCTCCCCATCTGCTCCCACACTGTCTGCCTTGGCGGGCATCCTTCCAGACCAGACTCAGCCATACTCGGCAGGAGGCACAAGGCGTCAGCCTGAGCCCTTCTCCGCCCCACTCCCCAAACAAAGGTGCAGGGGGAAGATGGGAGGCACGGTTGAAGTCAAAATCACAGATCCACTCATTAAAGGAAAAAAGCGAAAATCCAAAAAAATAAAATCATGATAAAACAATGTGCAAATGATGAGGTGCCCCCAGATCAGAGGTGGGTGGGTGGCAGCTTGAGGAACCATCAGAGCGTGCAGTCGACGAAGACGAGTTTAAAAACAAAATACCAAAACCAACGAAAAATGGGAGGAAAAATAAAAAAGCAAGAGATCTGAAAATATCTTTAGGCCACAAGACGGGGTGGGTGGGCGGTGGGGCCGGAAGTCTTACCATCGCGAGGGGAGTCGTTGGCCAGCGAACCTCCTTCTCGCGGCCCTTTATCGTGAGCAATTTGACGCATGATTATCGCGTCTATGAAGGTGGCCGCTGTCAGGGTGGTCTTACCCAGAGAACGGAGTTCCAGTTCCTGGATGGAAAAGGGTTTACTTTGAGTCTTTTCCCGGTGCAGGTCCGCGGCCGAGGCAGGCGGCACAGGCTGGTCCGGGCTGGCGCGGTGGGGTGCGAGGCTCTTCGCGGGAGTGCGGGCGATGGCTGCGTGGCTGGGGCCCGGGGCTGCCAGAGGCCGGGGCTCCGAGCCCTTGCTGGGGGAGGAGGCGGGCTCCAGCCCCGCGCGCACTGGAGGCTTGGCGAGGAAGGCGTGGCCGGCGTCCGTGCGGGCCCGCTCGGGCCGGGCAACCCGTGGGGCCTCCTTGGGCAGCAAGACGGGCTCCATGAGGGTGGGGTAGACCCCGTCAAGGGTGCCGCCCAGCGGGCAGTGGGTGGCAGGTGGGAATGTGGCAGCCGGTCGGACAGGCGAGGAGGTGGAAGTGGACCTGGGAGAGGAGAGAGGGGTCCGGTGACTTGGGAATCACAGCCAGGAGCCCAGGGGGGCAGAGGGGCCACCCCCACATTTCAACCCCTAGTGAGCACCCCCCCCACACTGCTTCCAGAAAAAAGCTGCCCTCCTGACCCATGCAAGAGCATGGCTCTACCTACCCTATTCATGCATTCATTTACTCATTCAGTCCAAGCCTTTTAACTGAGCAGCTACTGTGTGGAAGGCTCTGTTCTAGATGTTGGGGGATAAAGCCACGAACAAAATAGACAAAGGCGCCTTACAGTCTAGTTGGGGAGACAGACTACCTACACGGTACCAGATAAATCAAACCCCCCTCAGAGTGTGGTAACAAGTCAGGGTGAGGAGAGGCTGGGGAGGACACAGCCGGCAGGGCAGCAGAGGGCCGGCAAGCCAGGGCTGACCAGGACACGGCAGGAAACCAGCCAGAATGGCCCTAAGGGCAGGCTAGCAGGGGTGGGTGGAGAACAGGTGGAGCTCCACGCACTGGGAGTTAAGGAGTCAGGGAGGGCTGCTCAGCTGGGTGATCTCGCCTCAGCCACTGGGAACCATACAGGGCTCCCCAGGGTGCCTGCTGTCCCCACCCCCGCAGGGATAGAGTGTGGAGGGAGAGACAGAGAGGAGGCTGTGAGGAGACTCCCATCCTACTCCTGAGAGTCACATGCCTCTTCTTCCAGACAGCCTTCCCTGATTGCTGCCTTGGTCTAGACCACACTGCCCAGTATGACAGGGCTTGAATCAACCGTCACCACATCCCCACACCCAGTGCAGAGCAGGAGACCCACAGCAGGCCTGCTGGGAAGGAGGAATGTACAAATGTACACATTGATTCTCACAAGGTATATGTAATTATCTCCACTTGTAGATGAGGAAACAGGCTTGGACAAGAACTGGCCCAACAGCAGCCCATGTAACTAACTTCTGTCAAGCCCAGTGTTTCCATGAGACCCTCACTCCCAGAGCCCTACTCATCAGTTCCTTTCGGGAGGAGCTTGATTTTCCTATTACAGTTCCTAATCAGGTGATATGGACGAACTGTTTTTTAGTACAGGAGCCTGTGTCCAGTAACCTTGCTCTAAGCAGCCAGGTGCTTCTGTTTTGCCTAATTGCCAGGCACCTGAGTCAGTGGGGACAAAGCCGATACTTTTGGGAAACGATGTCATTTTTCATAATTGGGATCGTGCTGGGGGAGGGGTGACTTTGAGCAAATGGGGTTACTAGTATCAACAGGAGCTTTATTTTGGAAGAAGCAGCTGCCTCCAAACACGTCCCTGGACAGTGGGGAGACCAGTAGGGCACAGACCTCACCCTGACCCCCTGGGGTCCTCACAGGCCACATGAGGCCTGCCCTGCCTGACACCTCAGCCTGTCACCAGCAGGTGCAGAGCCAAGCAGCGGCAGGGGTGGGGGTGGGGCAGCAACAGCCACCCCACCTCCCACTCCCACTCCCACCAGATTGGCAGCTTTGCCTATAGTCCTTGGGGGGCTGTCACCACAGGGACTTGGACCCCTTGTGCAAGTAAAAGGACTGTTGGGGGGTATGTTTGGGGCCTACAGAGCCTCTCCCATCTTAAGGGAACCTCTGGATTTTATCCAGGCAGGAGGGATATCATTTCCTCCCTGTAGGGTCTTGCTGAATTCTGGGAGGACCAGGAGTGGGGCTGCTCACAACCTTCTCTGTCTCTCCCTCTCCACTCCACTCTACCCCCAAACCTGACAACCACCTACCTACCCATCCATCCACCCACCCAATGCATAATCCATCTACTTGCCCATCTTCCCATCCATCCATCCACCCACCTAGTCAACCAGCTAACCCAACCCCATGCATTCAATACCTATCACCCATTTATTCATCCACCTCACCTATCCACTCATTCACCTACCTATCTATCCACCCACCATCATCCACCCACCCATCTATCTACTCATCATCCACCCACCTGCCTACCTGTTCATCTAGCCCAGCCACTCACCCACCTACCTACTCCTGTCATCCATACACTTACGCATTTATCATCTATTCATCTACCCACCCACCCATTTATCTATCCACCTACCCATGCATCTAACTCAATCATATTACTTCTCACTCACTCACCCATCCAACCATCTCCCAACTACCGGTCCATCCATCCCTCCTCTCATCTATCTACTCCTCCCTCCTCCTACCCCCCATGTCTATTCATCCATCCACCCACCTACTTCTTATCAACTTACCCATCCATTATTCACCTCCCATCTATCCCCCAGCTGATTGGTCCACTTGCATCTATCCACCCACCCACCGATCTGCATCCATTGATCACCCACCTGCCCGCCTGTCCCCCCATGCCAACCTGGCCCACCTCAGGACCGTGGGTGTGCTGGGCTCCACGGAGGTGATGATGCCCTTCATGCCTGTGTTGTGCAGCACGCTGGGCCTCTGCTGGATGGCGTCCTGAGTCCGGGGTGAGATGGGCGAGTGCTGGTGGGAGTGGGAGTGGGAGGCGGGGCGGCTGCTGCTGCCCCCACCCCCGCCGCCGCCGCTGCTCTGCTCTGTACCTGGTGGTGACAGGCTGTGGTGTCAGGCAGGGCAGGCCTCATGTGACCTGTGAGGACCCCAGGGGGTCAGGGTGAGGTCTCTGTGCCCTACCGGGTCTCCAAATGGGCGCGTGTTCCACAGTAGTGGTGGACGTGAGGACAGGCTTCTCCCGTTCCCGCTCGCGTTCCCGTTCCCTCTCAGATGAGGATGTGGCGGTGGGTTTTGTCAAGTGCGTGGGACCTCCTGGAAACAGAAGGCCAGGGTTCAGGAGGGGCCAGGACTTGCCTTCTGTGGTGGGGCAGAGGAGGCAAGGCAAATGCCTGAGAATGCCCAGCCCTCCTGACGTCAGGGTCCTGACAAGGCTGAGGGTGGAGGGTTACCTGGGGAGAGTGGGGAGCTGCTGAGCCGGCTGCTGAAGTGCTGGGGTGCAGTAGGGAGGTAGGCAAGGCGGTCCATGGCGGTGGCTGGTGTGCCCGGTGTTGGGGGCACCAGCACGGGCAGGTGTGGCACTTGGGACAAGTCGATGATGCCTGCAAGAGGAGGTGGGCCCCAGGGGTTGTAGGCCCAGGGGTAGGAAAGGGGCCGGGCTGCCTGCTGGCTGGACCACACCCCTGGTGGAGCACTACTGCCCTTGTGAGCAGCCACATGTTCTGTCTTGGCCTGAGCACTGGCCCTGGAGGACCCTCTTCTGAGCACTGGGCTCTCAGTCTTGCCCCACTCCTGCTCCCAAGCCCTGTAGGTGGCTGTGACCCGCAGTCAGCATCCCTGCATTGCCCTGGCCAGCCTTTCTGCTCTTTCAGCCTTACAATCAGTTCCTATATTCAATCTCCACCACATGAAATACCTTATGTGACCAGTTTTTCCACGTGGACCCTAATAGTACTTGGTTGTTCCAGGAGGACGTTCCAGAAGTGTTCCCAGAGGATGGCTTTATATGCACACGCAAATCACATTACATTCACAGCACATACGACTCTCAACCACCTGCCAGGCCTGAGGGCACTCTCAGGGCAGTTAACCACCCAGACCTCTGAGGTGCCCGTATTCCAGCTGCCTTGGCAAGAACACCTGCACGCACGGGCACACACGTCCTCTGCCTTCTCAACAAGCCTGGGCAGACCAGGAATCAGGCCAGTTCTGGATGGAGAGGGTCTGCCCACCCACTTGCCTAGAAGCCCCCAGCCCCACCCACCTCGTGGGCCAGCGGCGTAGTTGAGAGCCAGCGAGGACTCGCGGGGTGAGAGGCCCCTGAGCATGTCAGCTCGCTGGGCCATGGCGGTGGCTGCGTTGTGGTGCATCTGCTGCGAGGTGATGTAGTCATTAATGATTGTCTGGCGGTTCTCCAGCGCTGCTGTGTCAGGGTAGCCACGGATGAGGTAAGGCGGGTACAGGTGTGGATAGGTGGGGTTGGGGGCCAGGTGCCGGGGCAGGTAATAGGCAGCTGCCAGGAGAAGGGGGACAAAGTCAGGCTAGCCCACACTGTGGCTGGAGAATGTCACCCCACGTGTCTTAATGCCCCCCAACCCCTGCACCCTGATGGCATCTCTGAAAATACCCCCAGAACAGAATTGAGGGCCTAGAAGTAGGAAAACCCTTGCTCCTCAAAACACATGGGGTGCCTCTTACTGATAATGCTCTTTGGATCGAAGTTCTCTCAAACACAGGCATCCAACATGTAGATCACTGAATATCTAAGGGATGCATCCTTTTAAACAGATTTTCAGATCATGTCCATTTGAGGAACACTTACATTTGAACCCACTTTTGATACATTTGCAATTCTAAAGGCACTGGTGAGTTTCGCAGGAAAATGAAACCACTGAACAATGTCCCACAGACTGCCAAGAGAAATTCTGCTCTAACCTAAACTGTTCACAACTATACCTCTGGGGTCTCCCCACCTCTAGGACTCAGTTTCCTCATCTAGCAGAGCCTGGCTGACAACTGAGAAGAAGTTGGGCTGACACTGATGAAGCCCCCAGCCCCATGCTTTGGGGTTCTATGGGTCCTGGACAATCACCTGCATCCAGAGGGATTCCACGGGGTATGGAGGTGGGGTCGAAGGCCAGCGGGATGTGGCCACGGTACAGGTCCACACCACTCACACCCCGAAGCAGGTGCTCGTAGGGCGAGATGGGGTGGGGGTGGTGCTCGGGCACAGCGCTGTGTGGGGACTTGGCAATCTCTCGGGGTGTCGATGTCAGCTTTCGGTCCTGGGATGCCTTGCTGGCCGAGAGGCTGCCTGTGGGGACAGGCTGAGTGGGGATGCCATCGGACCCCTGTGCCACAGCTGATGCAGCCCCCCAGGGCAAGGGCTGCGAGGCCAGTGTTTACGGGAAGCTGTTTGATGGGGGTGGTCTCTGGGATCCCAGCCACCAGGCCTCTCCATCCACCCATTCATTTGCCTCTACTTCATTTATCTTTCATTTACTCCTTCACCCACTAACTTGTTTTTTAGTTCTTTTTAAAAATTCACTCACTCTTTCTTTTGTTCCCTCATGCTTTCCATCAGTCTACAACATCTAATGGATACAAGCTAAACACTGTTCTCAGAGCTGGGGCTAACCCCAGTGAACAAAACAGACAGAAACCCTGGTCCCCATGGAGCGAACACTTAATGTGGGAAGGAAACAGATGACAATCATCAAGGGGGAGTCCAGAGTGCTAAGGCCTGAGGAAAGCTTAAAGTCACGCCAGAATGTGGCCAGAACAGTGGGGGGACAGGCAGGTTGGTCATAAGAAGCCTCCCTGAAGATACAACATCTGAACAGAAGCCTGGAGAAAAGCAGGCAGTCAGGTAAAGATCTGCAAGAGGGGGACATTTTAGGCAGAGGGAACAGCACATGCAAAGGCCCGAACAAAGACTGAGCTGAGCATGGTCAATGGCCAGGAAGGAGGAGGCCTGTGTGGCTGAGCCTGGGGTGGATACAGGAATTTGGCAGACAGAGAGATGGAGCAATGGGCAAGGCCAGATCCTGGGAGAAAGGCGGATTTTTTATTCCAAGTGCACGGGGAAGTCCCTAGAAAGATTTAAGCAGAAGTGTGGCACAATTTGACGTGAAGTTTTCAAAAAGGTTTTCTGGCTGCCGTTTAGGGAGCAGATTATAGCAGGGCAAGAGGGACTTAGGGAAGCCAGGAGGAAAATGGTGACGGCCTGGGGATGGAGTGCGTGCTGAGTATGGTTTGGAGGCAGAACCCACAAGTTTGGCAGATGGAATGTGAGGGCTGTGAGGGAACCCCTGGTTTCTAACCTAAGTAGAGAGCAGATGGTGGGCTGTTTCCTAAGGAGGCAGCCCACCCTCACCCTGGCCCCGCCCCGTGCATGCCACGCACCCTCCTGCAGGCGTGGGGTGGGCTCTCGCGTGGTCACAGGGGAGCCACGCGGCAGGTGGCCTGCAAAAGGTGCTGCGTGGTCCTCATAGGCCAGAGGGCTCTGCCGTGGCTTGCCCAGCTCAGGCACAATGACCGGAGCCCCGCGGGTGATGGAGCCCCCGGTGCTGCTGGCTGCCCCTGGCCGGCTCTTGAGGCTGTCCTCGTAGCAGGCACGCTCCAGTGCACGCGTGTCTGCCATCACGTCCAGTGGGTGCACGGGCGGGAAAGTCCTGCCTGGACTGCCAATGATGGAGCGCACGTCATGCTTTTTGGTGCTGGTAGAGGATGTGCTGGTGTCATACTTGAGCGGGGTGCCCTGGGGGAGAAGCAGGCTGTAAGCAGTTTTTTGGCTATAAAATGGGAGCCACATCTCATGCCTCAGGGGCAGTGGCCCAAGGGCTTTGCTGAGCCTAGGATGAGCACACCTGTCACTATTCTGCCTGACCTCTGGTCCTTGTTCCCAGGGCCACCTGGGTGGTTGCAGAGGGGGTGCAGAGATCAGAGGTCAGCCCTTCCTGGAGCAAGCGGGGAACTCTCTGTTGGCCTGAGTTTGCTGCAAAGAGGATCAATAAACCCATGTGGGCAAAAACCCTCCCCCACCGGTAGTCTAAGACCCTCCTCGGTCCAGCCAATGCCAAGCCAGGGAATTCACAGCACCAGTCCCACCACCCCTGAGGCTTAAGACTCAGCAGTCAGGACTGATGTTTATGTTTGTTTTCTGGCCAGAAAGGGGGGTCATGGGCCAGACTGCACCCTGGCCACCTGGGAGTAGGCTCCACCCCATCTAAGCAGGCTTGGGAAAACCAGAAACAGTGGGACCCTGTGTCTTTGCAAGTAACAGGATGCTGCATTGATTCAGGAATATTTTAATTCCTTTCACAGGAAGAGGAAACACTCTAATTTTAAAAGAATATTCTAGAATCAGAGTGGCCTCCCTCTTGGATCATGGTGGACTCTTGCCAGTGGTTCCACAACTGCCCCAAGGCTGAGCCAAAGCTGTGCCTGGTATTTGATGATCTTCTCCCTGGTGCTGTGAGCCTTTACCCAGGCCACGATGCCCGCCCAGGCCAGCCTCCCCAATCCTTTCTACCTAACAGGCATGTGGCCCCCTGGAGGGTTCCCACTCTTCTTCCTCGTTCACATCAGACCACCTCTGGCCACGTGATGGGACAATGGCCCTCAGGTGGTTCCTCACATAGTCGGAACGGGTGGGACCTCTCTGGGGTCTGGGACCTTGTAGGAGCTGGGTGCAACTTGCTGGTGGGAAAAGCGGACACAAGCAAAGACGTTGCAGATTTAGGGACATCTAGACTTGAAGTCTACAACTGCCATTTACTTGCTATGTGATCCTGGGCAAGTCACTTAACCTCTCAAAACCTCAGTTTTTTCACCAATGAAATGGGTCCAGTAAGAGAGCTACTTTAGAGTGTGGTTGTGAGGTGAGGGTTAAGCAAGGGCTCAGGTAGCCCCTGGCCCATAATAAGTATTTAATCAGTGGTAGCTGTTTATGACCCCATTTAGCTCTGCAGCCACAGCAAGCTGTCTGACCTTTCTAAGCCTCAGTGTCTCTACCTATAGAGTGGGGACAATGGGTATGAACCTCATACAGCTGTAAATACAATTAAATGAGGTCACAGACACAAAGCCCCAAGCATGGGAAGTGGGACATATGTGATGCAGACTCAGCATGAGCAGCTCTGTAATCCTGGGCAAGGTACTAAGCAAACTGGGCCTCAGTTTCCCCACTGTGGAGGACAGGGCAGTGCCCAGCAGCCGCCTTCTCCTGGCCCAGCCCACCCAGCTCCTGCACCTGTACCTGTGTGATGGAGCCCTCCTTGAGCGGCCGCGGGGCCAGGGGCAGCTCAGGCGTGTGCCGCAGCTCCTCACGGGGGATCTCATGGATGGAGCGACCAGCCTCCTTCACTGTTGCCACCAGGCCCTCGTGGGCTGGCTTCAGCTTCAGGGGTCCCAGGGCCTCCAAGGGCCGGGCCTTGTAAGCCTCAGCCAGGTCCCGTGGGGGTGGCGGGGGCGGTGGTGACGTGCCCTCGCGCTTCAGGAGCTTGGCTTCCCGGCGAAGATAGTCTTCCTGGGCCTCCACATAGGACCGTGGGATCCCTGCCAGGGAGACAGGGTGCTGATCATCATACCTGCACCCCACCACAACCATCCTAACCTGGAACCTCCACACTGGCAGATTCCAGAGCCCGACTACCTGGGTTTTGATGCTCACTTGCTGGGTGTTCTGGAGCATATTGCCTCTCTGAGCCTCATTTCTTCGTTTATCAAATGGTGATACTAAATGAAACACCTCACCAAGTAGTGAACGTTCAGTGAGATAAGCGAGATAAGAACAGGGGCCATAGTAGCCGGCTCACCACTGACCAGCCAGGAGGACTTGGGCGAGTTACCTGATCTCTGCTCCTGCCAATTGTGCCTTCCTCCCTAAGACCCATCCACAACATGTAAGCACACTTGGGTTTGTGCCAAGCACAGAGTAGATACTCAACCAATGATACCTACAAAGTAAAGGGGTGATGGGTGGTACCTGGCTTTCTTCCGTTGTTTTCATGTAAATAAGAAATGCCCTTGCACTGCACTTCCACCTGCACATGTGTAACTCAGGGACACACGCGTCACGTCCCCTTCCATGTGCCTGTCCTCTGAGGTTCCACAGCACTCTTGGGCCCTCCCTCTCCAGTGCTGACTGTAAACCCCTGAGGGCTTGTTACAGCTGTGAGGGCACCTGGTGGCCGGCACCGTGGGGAGCAGAGGGTGGACAGTACCTTGTGTGATGGAGCCTCGGATGTGGTGTTGCTCTTTGAGATGGTGGGGGCTGTGTCGCTCAGGTGGAATGGCACGGCCCATGAGGCCTGGGAGAGGGAGGGCAAGAGCATCATTACATGGGTTCCTGTACCAACCCTGGGCATGACAGGGGCCAGGTCTACAACCACCCCTCTCAGCAGTGGGTTCCTTCAGCCACCTACAGCAGTCCCCATGATGGTGTCACTGGACCCAGCAAGCAAGCATCCCATCTTTTGGGCCCTTTGCAGTCCCCAGATTGAGACTCAGAGAAACTGAGCCTCAGAGAAACCCAGCCTCAGTTTTCCCATCTGTACAATAGGGCTATCCATCCCATCACCTCCCTCCAGGCAGTGCTGAGAGACACACTCTCTCTCCTACAGCTGGATATGGCTACAACCCAGTAAGCTTGGGAACCCCGAGCACGGGCCTAGCCCGCCTGGCATTTCTGTGACCACTGAAGCAGGGAGCTAGCTGGGCAGGGCACCTACCTTCAATGCTGGCTGAGGAGATGGCCCTGGTGACACGGCCCTCCATCATGTCATAAGTGCGCTTGGGGGCAGCTGTCTCATGGGGAGGTCCTGAGCTACTCCTGCCATCCTCCTTGGAGCACTGGGACACAGACATGCCACCTGGAAACCAGACCATGCTCACAGTGAGGGGCTGGTCCCAGGATGGCTGTGTGCACAGGGCCTGGTACCAGCAAATGGGCTATGGCCAGCGGGAAGGACCCCGCAGTGGCTCATATGCAGACCCTACCACACAGCCCTGCTGATCAGGTGGCTGAGACCTGGGCCCAGCTGAGCCCTCCTGAGAGAATCCAAGGCCTGCCCTCCAGCCCCGGGCCTGATGACAGGCTCTGCCAACCAGTCTCTCAGCCGTTGTGGGGGATTCACGTGAATGGGAGAGCAGGCAAACTTCCTACACTCCCAGCCCAGACCTGTCAGACTGTTCTGCCTCAGGGAGGCGCGTGACTTTGGGAGCCTGTGCACAAACAGGTCTACATGCAGGTGTGTGCGAACATGAATACACATGCACGTGAGCAGAGATGCATCAGCAAAGTATGAACACACAGACTGTGCACAACCATTCTTGTCCATCAACATGGGTCTGCGTGTGTGTGTGTGCAATGATTGTGTGCCTGGCAACTGAAAACAGGGAGGAGGCCATGTGTACAAACATACCTGTGTGCCTGTGTCCACATGCACACATTTGTACAAACATGTATGTGCATTACAAGTCTGTGTGGGGAGAGAAGTGGGCAGGGGGAGGGGAGGAAGAAAGAATGTCTATGGCAGAGGTGGCCTTGCCAAGCCAGGATAAGCCCAGAGGGGCTGGGAACTAAGGCTGAGCTCACTGGCGCCCCCACAGGCCGAGAGTGTGAGTAGCCAGGAGGCAGGCCTTGTGAAGGCAAAGGCTCCCTCTTGCCCATAAGGCTGGGGGCTCCTTCAGGGGGGTTCTCCTTCAAGGGTGGTTGAGTCCAGCACTATTGGAAGCAAACTCAGAGTCCTGGTCCCACCCCTTGGAGACAAGGGGTTCTCTTAGCTAGAGGTCACAACCTGGTGGCGTGTGGGCATACTGTATTGCTGCTCTAAATTCTTTTCAAAATTAATTGCTGATATTTAAACACTGGCGATTTCAGATAAAAATGGAAAAAATATATATATATATACAAAGGCCCTGGAGAGATTATAAGTCTGGCCAGAGGGCTACCATTCGTACAGGGTGATAGCTGTTGGTGAGCTGGGGGTGCCCCAAGAGACATGATATCTGCTCCCCATGTTGCCACAAACTCCTGCCACCTGACTGCCTTACACCCAGCCTGCTGTGTCATTAGCCACTTGCCCCAGGAAGCATATGAGATTAAAAGCCCTGATTTAAACCCATTTTGCAGATTAGATAAACTTAAGAACCACAGAGTCTCAAGAGCTGGTTGAGGGGTTCTGAGTTGAAATTCTGCCCACAATACTTTGACTGTCGGGCCCTCCATCAGCCAGGGCCCCCTGCCAGTCCTGAGGCTGGCACTGAAGACACAGCTGATGACAGTCCCAAGCCTGTCTCCACCACTTGGCAGCAGAGAGAGGCATGTGCCTAAGCCACATGGTACCTTCTCCACTTCTAGGACCAAGGGGGGCAGTGGGGCTCGGGCAGAGGCAGATGGAGAGGCAGATGCCCATCCACCAGAGGAGAAGCAATTTAGGGCTCTGCAGCTGCCAGCCACTGAGAGAGGCGCCCATTAGCAGCTTTTATCACCACACCCCTGGGTGCCCAAGGCTTCCAGGAAATGCATGTCTCAGCTGTTTATTCCCCTACCCCTCTCATGCTGGGCTCCGTGGCTGTGGCCCCAGAACCTGGAAAGAGAGGGAGTGTGAGGCACTGAAACAGGGGGTCTGGGGCACACAGTGGGGTGGAAGGTCACACTGGTCACCACCCTTTTGTGGCCTGGTGCTTGCCATAAGTGCTGGGCTAGAGGCCTGGGCTCCTGTGCTTGGGCTTCTGCTCTCTGAGCCTCAGTTTCCCCACTATGCTTCTAGCAAGGGTGGCCACAGGTTTGTTTGCTAAACTGTACAGAACTGCAGAGAGGGAGGCACCCAAGGCCAGCCCTCACCTGCTGCTGCGTGCACACCTGCAGGGGCAGGGAGGCTACCACCTCTCTGGTTGTGCTTCCGTGTGTCACCCCAGCCCCGCCTCCCCATGAAACCACCTCAGTGGGCCAAACGCCTTCCCCCCAACCCTGATCCTGGGCTTCCTTTTCTCTTGAGGGGCCAGAAGAGTGGCCGCAGAGAAGGACCTGGATATCACTGTACCTTGGCTCCCTCAGCTGTGCAACAAGAATTAAATCCTTTACCCTGGCTCTCAGCCACTCAAGGCTAATAGGAGGGGTACCGAATCTCGCAGACTGCCTTTAACCCTGACCAAGTTTTCCTGGACCCTCCTCTCTCCTGACCAACTCCAGAAACACCAAAGCCTAGAGTTTGATGGACAAGCCACACTCGAAGGGGCAGGCTTCCAGGACTCAAAATTAACTCAGTGACTTGCAATTTGCACCTTCTATGGTGGTCCTGAGAGTGTGCTGAGGAGGACGTATCCCCTGCGCCCCAGCCCCCAGCATGTGGTCAGCTCCCAAAAGATATCCAAAAGTGACCAGATGCCTGGCTTCCTCCCAGGTTCCCAACAACCCTCTCAATTAGACTATTTCCTGTGCTTCAGAAAGGAGGGGGCAAGGGCCTGGCTGGCCCCAGCCTGCCCTGCTGCCCCTCACAGCTCTAGCGATAGGACTCACCCTCATAGGACAGGACATGGCCCTTCTTGCCCTCGTAGATGACATGGCCCTTGGGCAGGCCGTCCTCCCGGCCACGGTCCAGCCGACTGGGGCTGTCCTCGCCAATGATCCTGGTGATGGTGCCTTTGTACAGGACATCGGCCGGCGTGCCCTGAGGGTATGGAGGGGGTGAGTGCCCTGCAGGCTGGGGACAGGACCTCCTAACAGTTGCTAATGTGACACAGGTATGACTCAGCACACATACATGTGCACCCACCAAATCTGCATGCATGCATACACACATGCATGCACATACAAGCACACACACACACACACAGTGTATGTGTTTGCACACACTGTACCCACCAGTGCACAAGTGTTCATATAAGTACTGCTTCAAAAGGGGAGCGAAGCCCACCAAAACACAACCACACAGAACAAAATAATATCAGTAATATTAAGCAGCAATTATCAGGTACCAACTATATAATGGACACTATCCTGAGCCCTTAATATATATTAACTCACTTAATCCTGGAAATAACCCTGAAGCAGGTACTACTATCATATCTATTTCAGATGGGGAAACTAAGGTGCTAAAGGTTAGGTGACTTTGCCCAGGATCACCTGGCTAAGGAGGGGCGGCGCTAGGACTGGGACCCAGGCAGTCTGGTCCCAACCTGTACCATGTAGGTCTTCTCATCAGAGACTTGTCATTCAAACAGCAACAGTAACTAACTGGTGGGGTCGCTGGGGTTTTGGCCCCTGTACCACGCCTATGACCATGTACCATGCACTTCAGTTTCCCAAAACCAGGACAGGGACTCAATTCAAGGCAGGACACCAGAAATATTAGTCTCACCCAGAGTTTCTCAACTTTGGCATTATGACATTATGGGGGCCATCCTGGGCACTTGAAGGTGTTAAGCAGAACCCTAGCCTTTACCCACTACATGCCAGTAGCACACTCTGCCTCCTGAATCTGCTCCCCCTAAGGTGTGACAATTAAGTCTCCCCGTGGATGCAAAATTGCCCAGGACTGAGTACCACTCCCACAGAGAGAGTGAACTCCCGATTAGGGGATGTAGTCAAGCAGAGAGAAGATGGCCGCAGGGATAGCATCCTGCCTCCGGTGACTTCCAACAACATGAGTCTGGACTCAGATGTTCGATGACAAACAGCATTTACCAATGAGTAAAGTCATTGCCTCTTCTCAGCCTCAGTTTGTATATCTATAAAACAGAGGCAATCTTTGCATCTGTGACTCTCAAAGGCACCCAGCACAGACCAGCTGTGCCCAAATAAAAATGTCTCTCTTCTCTTTCTATGATTTCAAGAGCAAATTCGAAGCTGTGGGGGTCCTACTGATATGAGAGGTGGTGAAAGCAAGACGCGCTGGACGCAGATGGGTCTCCAGGACTTCTCAAAGCAAAAGCTCTACTTAGGATCTCCATGCCACACTTTAAAATGTTTGTACAAACAGTATGGCATCAATGGGCCTTGATTTGGGCAACAGTCCAGGGGTGGGCAGCACTCCTCGTAGGAGAGACACAGCAAGGAGCCAGCAACATCCACCATGAAAGGCTCCTCTGGAGGCAACTGATACCAGCAAAGCTCTTGGCTGTGTCTTGGTTAATGACAACTGGGTTTACACTGGGGAAATCAGTAGTCCACAGCTGATGATAAAAAGGGGCTCTCTTGGTAGAACAGAAGGTATTCAATGTTCTCAAGCAACAGTATTTTAGAGGCACTCTGTTTTGTGCCATGAACAGAGGACAGAAACCTTGTGAGGCTGGTGGCCCCTGCCCTTTGGGACGATATACCAGACAAATTCCTGGGAAGGTGGAGATTGTTTGCTGAGGGCCAGTTTCAAGGACCCGTTGCAGCCTTTTGGTGCTGACCCCAGTGAACTTTGCTTCCAAGGTGGGCAGGAGCACCAGGAAGGATGGAGAGCAGGGACTTGCTGGAGCGTCTGGTGGGATGCAGAACAAACTGCTACCCCCTGAGGATACCACTACCCAGAGGCAGGGCCATGCCTCTGAGGACGCTGAGGGAACAGATGGGCCAGCCCACTGCTCTGCCCCCTGGCAGGCCCCATCTGGAGTGGCTGCCTACTCCTCCTGCATGGCCCCTCACACCACGGCCCCAGGACACTTACATGGGTAATGGAGCCACGATACGTGACAGGGCTCTCAGCAGGCACCCGCGTACTGGGGATGCCCTTGGTGATGCTTCCTCCCGGAACCGAGCCCAGAGACGTCCCTGCAAGACACGAGACACGGGCTTCAGGGGTGTCTGTGGCTCTTCCCCAAGCCTAGGCCCAGGCCTGAGAGCTACTTGCTCCTGGTGACTGGCAAGTTCCCCTGGTGTTTCAACACAAAGGCTCCCTAAACGGAGGCAGACAATTGTGCAGAGGGCCTTCTGGACTCTCCCGGAGCTGACTTTTCTCAGCAGGTTTTGGATAAAGAGCCCCATTCCTTCCTCTACCCTCTGAGGAATAGAGAGCAACTGCTGGGCTGCAGAGCAGACTCTGGCCTCACACCCACCCCCCTGCCCTCACCTCTCAGCACAGATGTCTCCTGAGCCGTGGGCACCCCCAGGCTCTCCGGCGGCCCTGCCTGGCCCCGCGGGGACAGCTGCTCCTGCTTCACTCCACTGAAGGGTGCTGGGGACAGGAGAGTGGTGAGCATGAGCCCGTGGTACAGGCTGCAGAGGGTGCCCCCACCCTAGGGGCTGAGGCCCAGCACTGCAGGGACTTAGAGTGCCACCCTGCCCCAAGCTCGGGCCAGAGACCCACACAGAGGCAGCTGCAGCCAAGCCTGGGCCACCAGGTGGGGCTCAGATCCTTACCCAGCTTCTTGGGGTCCATGGCGAGGGGCAGCCCCATAGTGATGGGGCCCACAGGAGCCTTGGCGTGCTCTGAGTAGGGAACGTGGAGCTGCACCGACATTCCCTGCAAGGGCAGAGGTCATGGGGTCACAGGGGGCCCCCACAGTCCCTCCACCACATGCTCCAGCCCAGTCAGGGCCTTGACGCCCCTTTCAAGAGGGCCCCAGAGGTGGGAACCTCAGGATCACATGCAGTTGGGAGGCCTGGAGGTCGAGTTCTGCCCTGTAGTCCCACTGGGTGACTGTGGACAAGTCATTGCCTGTTAGGAGCCTCGGTCCCCTCCCCTGTGCAGCAGCCATCATGACAGGTGTGGTTTAAAGGAAATGGTGCACCATTCATTCTGGGCAAAGTGGGCACCTCATCCCCACCTTGCACGCACAGTGGAGCAGGTCTGGGAGGCGAGGGGATAGCCAGTCACAAATTGAGGCTTACCACCTGCCGGCTGCTTTGTGTCCAGTGCAGTCAACCTTCCATTACACAGAGGGGAAATCGAGGCACAGAGAGGTCAAGTAAGACCATAGTCTGTAGAGCCCCTGCACTTGACTACCCTGGGAATGAGCTCCCAAGGTCCTGAGTGCCTGGGGCAGGCTCTAGCCAGCTAAGATCCCAGTGCTGCCAAGAAGAGATGACCTGGCCCTTTGGGTGTCTGCCCCAGGCAAAACATCATGGGTTCCAATGCCCCCACTTTCTGGATGGAAAGACTGAACCCCCAGAAGAGGAAGGGACTATTCCCAAGCCTCACAGGTGCTCCTAGGGGCTGCCCCTCCCACCTCACCTGGGAGATGGCACCCATTTGCCTCTCGAGGACGCTGGGGTGCTTGGTGGAGGAGATGAGGGGCGGCGGGTTGGAGATAGTGGGTGGGCGTGGCAGGACAGACCGGGCAGTGTCGTGGAGGCCCAGGGGCAGCGGGTGACCTGTGGGGCACATGTCTGTCCTTCTCAGGGCCCAGGAGCAGCCATGCCCCTGCCAGACAGAACCTGGGGCCACTCCCCACCACTCCCCACCTGCCACCCAAGTGGGCACTCACCCACATGTGCCCTTTCCCTCTGCTGCTCTCCCATCCCTGTCCTGCTGAGCTGTGTGTGTCCTTGGTTCAGACACCACTACCTAGGGCAGCCTCCCTCCACCAGCACCTCCCACAGTCCAGCCCCTGCCCAAGCCCCTGAATTCTCTCCCAGACCCCTTCACTGGTCTCCCTGTTCCCAGTTTGCCTCCCGAAGAGGAACCAAAGGGATATTTTTGAAAACTCTAACTGTCTACACCCTTCTCCCGCTGTGAACCTTCTACAGCTTCCCACTGCCCCCACGATAAAGTCTTGACCTCTCAAGGGGCTTTCAGCTTCACCTGACCTGGCTCATCTCTCCCTGTTCACTGGGCACCAAGCTTCCACCATGGCAGCCCGATTCAGCTTCTCAAGCTTCACCCTCTCTTTCCTGCCTCCAGGCCTTTGCACGTGCTGTTCCCTCTGCCTGGGATATCTGGCCCTGTTCTTCTCCTGCTCATTTAGCTGAGTCATCCTTCAGGACCAGCTCTACTTAGGACGGCCTTTGCTGACATCACAGCCTTATCAGTCCCTGGCTGTGCCACATCTATTGCTGGTGGGTCCCAGCAGGACTGGAGATCCAGAAAGGATTTCAAGCCCAGCCTGGCTCTATCTGTAAACCTGAACAGCCCCCTTCCTTCCTGGCTTTCCCTCCACCTGCCTGTTCTCTAGCTCTACGTCACTGGTGCTTCGAAAACAGAGCTCCCACTCTGAGCCTGCCCCTCACTAGCTCAAGCACCTCCTACAGCTCCCTATTAACAGTTGCTTCATTATCAACCCTGCAGATTTCTCAAATCTCAGCAGGTCCCTTTTTTTTCATTTACCTTCATCTCTCCTGCCAGGTCCCATCAGACTCTAAGGTCCTTCTGCATGCAGCTCTGAGCAGTGACTGTGCATTGGCTGGCAGCATGTTGGCTGAGAAGCCCAAGCTCAGGCCGAGCTACTCACCAGGTGGGGCATAGGAGAAGGCCGAGGGGTCAGGGGCGTGCGGGGAGGCCTTGATCACCTCACGAGGCGGAACAGGGAAGGGCAGGCCCGATGTCCAGCATGGTGGCTCCGTGGGTAGCTTCTGGCCCTCGGCTGCAAAGGCTGGGAAGAACACAGGCTTCTCTGCTGAGGGGAGGATGCAGGGTGGTCAGCCGTGCTCAGCCTGCCCCCAGGAATCCCATACCCCCAGACGCCTCTCCTCAAAAAGGTGTTCCCCGTGTTGGCAGCACTGGCCTTGGGCAGGGGTGGGGTCTCAACCAACAGTAATGGAGGCTGCACGCCATTCTGAGACCCCATGACTCTGCTCAGCATGGGAGTGTGTCTTGAGGGGTGGGCTGGGGGTCTTGGTGGCCCTGAGATCCCAAGGAGCTTCTGAGTCTAGCACACCAGGAAAGCAAGGGACCCTGGACAAACTTCCAAACTAGGGAGTGGTAAACGGAGGCCAGGGGCCCACCACCTGATTTTATGCACACGCAGGTACTGGAACATGGCTGCATCTGCACATTATTTACTGTCTGCAGCAGAACTGAGTAGTTGCAGCAGGGCCCATCCAGTCCACAAAGCTTACTTACTGCCTGGCCCTTTCTAGCAGCTTGCTGACCTCTATTCAAGGATGACAGTGCCCAGAGTGGCTTGCTGGGATGTGTGTGCACGTTCCCTGGCGGGGAGGCCAGACACAGGGTGACAGTCACAGCAGCAGCCTGTTTGCTAAGCAGTGTGCCAGGCATTGTGGTGAGCATTCCCAACAAGCTTGGAGGAAGAGACTGCTACTAGACCCATCATACAGAGGAGGAAACTGAGGCACAGACATGTCAATGGGCTTATCTAAGGTCACCAGCAAGTATCTGGCCAAGTCAGGGTTTGAACCCTCAACCTCCTGGCCCATGCAGCTGCAAGTAACCCCAAAGTGGGAGGGTATTGCCCTCCCGGGGCCTCCTGCAGGCCAGCAGTGCTCCAAGTGCTTTACCCACTCTCAAACCCTATAAGGAACTATAATTATCCCCACTTTACAGATGGAAAAACCAAGGCTGGGAGGGGCTGAAGTCACCTGGTCAAAGGCCCACAGCTGGCAAGAGTCACAGAGAGCATCTAGCCTAGGCAGCCCTGCTGGCAGACCGTGACCTTACCCTTTGCTACCCACACTGGCCCCAGATCCTTAGGCCTAGGAACTCCCCACAGACTCAGCAAAAGCCAGGGACTCTCAGTGTTCTCCTGCCGGCCTCTCTGCTGAAATCTCTCCTAAGCTCTGGACCTCTCCCTCGAGAACTGCTGTCAAGCTTGAGGACTGAACCCAGAGTGGGGGTGGGGTGGGTGGAGCTAACTGGCTAAGCTGGGCAGGAAGCACAACTTAGGAACGCCAGAATCCTTTGGCTCAGGGGACAAGAATGGCAGCAGGTGTCATCTCTTGGGCCACCTGCAGATGACAGGGAGGCTCTGAAGGACCATTAGGGCATAGAGGCAGCATGAGCAGCATTAGTGACACCTGCGGCAGGGGCAGTAAAAGCAGGTGTGCTCTGTACCCTCCGTACCTCTCCTAGGAGAGACTGAGCACCCTCTGGGCTTGTGCCCTGCTGAAGTGAAGCCACAGGAGAGGGTCACAGATGGGAGCCACAGATCTTCAGTGTGGGGGTCTGCATGCTTTACCAGCCCCAGTGCAGGTGCCCCCATAGTGCCTGCCCAGAGCACCCTGGGCCTTGTGTGTGCCCCAGCTGCTTTCTGCAACCGGCTTTGGCTGGGGAGGCAAGGGCAGGGGCAGGGGATGGCCTCAGGTGCTGGAAGGGCAGCCTGGGGCTGGGCCAGGTTGGGCAGCTGGCCGAGAGCCTGGACAGAACCTTGTTCCTCCAGCTGGGCCCAGGGGAGCCCGGCTTGGCTGAGCTGCTCCACACAGGAGCCAGGTGGCAGGGGAGGCCTCTGAGAGACCAGAGAGGTAGTACTGTGTCAACTTCATGTATGTGCCGAAGGGCACTGTGTGGCAATCCAGACGGTGTGAGAAATGCATGTGGTACCTGACGCCAGGTGCACCGTCTCCTGTGGGAAGCAATTCCAGGCAACAGCGCAGACTCAGAAACCACTGGTGGCGGCTCACTTTCTCCCAGGACAGGGTCTGTGACTTGGCCCAGCAGGCCTTGGCTGGCCCCATGTGGTGCCTGGCCACCCAACGGCCAGAGAGAGATCTTTCCAAAATATAAATAGCTATCCCCCTACCACAACACACACATTTATAATTCCTCTAACGAAGACTTTCTTGCCCCCAGAAACAAATCCCTATAGTCCTGTGGCCTCCCAGGCCCTATAACCTGGTTTCCTATTTCCCCTCTGACCTGCTCTCTCTCCCCCTCCCCAGCCACAGTGACCTCCTGGCAGCAACTCAAACACACCAAGCCTGCTCCCACCCCAGGGCCTTTGTATGTGCTGCTCCACATGCTTGAAACGCCCTCCCCAGGTCTTCCCATAAGTAACTCCTCCTCTTCACAGAGACCCTTCCCCTAAGCCCCTTAGCCTCACCCCGTTTCGTCCTTTTGCTGTGTGAACTATTCTGAAGTCACCTTCTTTGACATCCTTCTTACAAATACAGCAGCTCCCTAAGCAGGGGTTGTGTCCTGCTCACTGCTGAACCCCAAGTGCTCCCACGTATCACAGATGCTTAACAACTGTCCCAGCCCAGTGGCCACATGATGGCCTGTGTGCTGGTTGCAGGGAGGCAGGCCAGCAGGCTGCAAAGATGGAGAGTATCTGGCAGACCCATGTCACTTGTGGAAAGCATGAAGCCATCCCCCTTCCGGGACAGCCCTGCTCTTTGTCCTCAGACAGGCATGAAGCACCTCCCTCAAGGAAGTCTGTGGCTGAGGGCCAGCCTGGCTTCTAGAGAAGGGGGGCTGCTATACACAATGTGGTTGGGGGTGCAGCAAAGGTGGCTCTGGTTGCCTGACCCCATCCCTGGGCTTGTACTGGTCAGGGAGGGTGGCCTGGGGTAAGCATGGGGGAACCTGGGCTGGGGGATTGGCCCCCAATGCCTGCAACATGCCAACAGCACCTGCTGTATGCCAGGCTGCTTTGGGAAGGGCCCATCTCTGGGGACACAGGCCTGGACTGCTTGGATCTAGCGAGGAGTGGGGCAGAGAAAGAAGATCCAGAAAACAAGAAACCATAGCCTGCCTGTCTCCTGACCTCAAGCCTCTCATGGTGACAATAAAGCATGTTCTGAGAAGTTCAACACAGCTGCTTGGGGAATCACCCCTGCTGAACCCAGTGACCCCGGCCTGGAATAAGGTCAGGATGACAGCTGGACAGGGCAGTGCTTCCTGCCCAGGCCCTGGAGTTGGTGCCAACTGGGCACCAAGCTTCACCTGAGGTTCTAGAAGCTCATATGTAGACTGAATCATATGGAACCAGACACTGAGCCACAGACATGTTTTTGTGTGTGAACCATGCAATTGCCAATAATGAGAAACTAGATTTCACATGAAAAGACAGATTCCTGACTTCCCTGGAAGAACCACCCTGGGACTATATTGCCACATGGTGACTTCATAGCTGAGGCCCCTATGTACCCACTTAGAAAGAACGTGACCTTTCTGATTTGTCACAGTCCCCACCATTCCCTATGGCCTCCCTCCACATTTTATTCATTTACTGGCCCTGCCACACCACTGCAGGCCTGGGCTTTGCAACATCTGCTTTAGAAACCACTGCCCCTTGTCCCCACCCACCGCCGCCCCAGCCCCCATCCTCTCAGCCACAGGGCACACTTACCCTCCTTCTCAGTAGGAGGCACAGGGCTCCTGCTCTTGCCCCGAGGGCTGCTGCTGGGCTGCTGGGGGGTGTCACTCTCAGGCTGCAGGTGCTGTGGCAGCAGTGGGGCTGGTGGGGCTGGCTTAGGGGGAACTGCGTCCTCCTGGGGGGGCTCATGCACTTTGGTGACCTGCTGAGGGCAGTAGGGAGAAGTGAGCATCTTTACAGGCTGTTCATAGGTCACAGAGGTCAGGGAAGCTGTCCAGGGCCCCTGTGTGTGACCAGCCTGGAATGTATAGAAGAGGCAGTGGCATGTCCCAGGGCACACAGATGAGGGTCAAGAGGGTGGGTCTTTGCCCAAAGGCTGTAGAGTGTGCCCCTTGTCCCAGCTGCCTGGCTGGGACCCCTGTACTCCCTCTACTCAGCCCCTGCCCCATACCCCACATCTCTCTGGGCCTGAGATTGGGACTGACAAGTGGGACTGACTGTCTGCACCCAGGGGGCTCGCAGTACAGGCTGGGTACAGGCTGGCCCATGCATCCTGTGCCCCTCACTCAAAAAGCACTGGGTAGCTCAGTCTTTTACGCACGGCCCCCAGCTGCACTTATGAAGCCCAGGCCCACCTCCTCAGAGAGGGGGAGCGTTGGCAGATGCTGGGCCTCCATGCGGAAGGGGCACCTCCAAGAGGTCCCCTGCTTGGCTAGAGAATCTCCCCAAAGGGGCTCATGTTTGGAGCTGCTGAGGCCCCTGCCCTTCTCTCTGAGGTGCCATGACAGCCAGGGGACTTACTGCATTCCCATAGCCCAGTGCCTGGTCTGAGGAGCTCTGGAAAACCCTCGGCGGGTCAGGGTGGGGGGACCGATGCAGCCAAACCAGCCAAGGACCCACACGCACCTCCAAGGGCACTGGGGCAGGCGGCAGAAGCGAGACACGCAGGCCACACGGTTCCCCTTCTTCCAAAGCTCCACCCGCCCACCTGCGAGCTCCCCAGGAGCTGCTCCTGCCTCATCTCCGAGGGGATTTCTACAGGAAGCAGGGAGCTGGCCGGACCCAGCTGCAGGTGCCGGGCTGGCCCATCCCGGCCTGAGTCACTGCCTCCCTGAGCAGGAGGTGAAGGTTGGGCAGGCACAAGTGCTGCCTTGCTAGACAGAGGAGCCCTGAGGCACAGGAAAAGGGCACTTGGGCACTCACGATGGGGGGGATGGCGGCTGCCCGCTGCTTCAGCTGCTTCAGGTCCAGTGGCTTCTGGGGTGAGCCGTTGGCCCTGGTGTCGCTGGCCAGGGCAAGGAGGCTTGGCCGCGGTGACAGCAGCCTGAGGGTGAGACCAGCATCAGGCTGTAAGCTCTCCACCCAGCTCCAGCCCTGGATGATGGGGTTGGAGGGGCCGCCAGAGGGGAGGCGAATGTCCAGGGTCAACCAGGACTGTGGGGGTGGGGAGCAGAGTCAGGGGTTTCTCCCTCCCTCCTCTGGCCCACAAAGGCCCCCTGAGGGACAAGTTGACTCCAACCCCAGCACAGAGGCCCAGGCTGGGAGGCCTACTCTCCTGAGACAGTCCAAGGCCAGTCCCCAAGAAGCCCAGACCAGGACTCAAACCATGCCCAGTCCTTCCCAAGCTGTGGGAGGGCCAGTCAGCTAGATTAAGACTAAGTGAGCTTGGGAGATTCAGGGAGATTATCTTCACTCAAATGTGAGAGGTTTGGGCACTGGGGTAGGGCCTTGGGCATAGAGCTAAGTGGACACTGCTTACTGGAGACAGGAGTTGGGGAGCCAACCCACTTAACCAGAATGTTCTACTAATGGGAATCCTGCTTGCACACCATTTACTGAGCAGCTAAAAGCAGGTGGGCTGCAGGCTTTGTGCAGAGGGGCTGGTCAGCATATACACTGTCCAGCCATCAGCCATGGTGCTGAGCTGGGCCTGTGCACACCTTGTCCTTCAAAGAGAGGTTACTGCTGATATGCACAACTGGGCACCTGCACAGGGCACAGTAGGGCCGAAACACATCCAGGGACAGGGTCACTCTGTCACAGGGCTGCAGTGTTTGGGGTGCCAGGCAGAGCCTGCCCAGGGTGGCTTCTGATCATTCATGGGGGTCCCCTCCTGTAGGATGTCTTCAAGGATTCCCAGGACACCCCAGCAGAGGGCACAGCACCCTTCTGTGATCCCCCTCCGGCTCCTAAAGACCTGGCATGATGTCTTCAAGGCAGGGCTGGGGCTTGTCTCCGCCTCAGAGGCCCTCACCCACCCCCTGGAGCGTCTTTACTCTTTCCCATGACCTGCAATTACCGATCACACAGCAGGTCCAGCACTGTTCTCGGTGAGCACAGAGGAGACCCCAAAACCCAGTCTCTGCCTGCTGGGTCCCAGAGCCAGCTAGCCTACCGAATGGGGTGCACAAGGGCACTGGCCATGGGCTGCGATTGAGCCAGAGGGCAAGACTGAGGCACTGCACTAGGATTCGGCCAGAGCATCCTGGCGGCACAGCGCTGATGGCACACTGCGACCATACTGGCTGGTGCCACAGGTAGACTGCCAGCCACAGCCACTGCCTCCAAGGTAAGACCTGCAATGGCCAGGACAAGGCTCATGACACCCTGCGCACAGCAGCCAGGGCCAGACACCCAGTGGTGAGGAGAACCTGCCGCCTTCTGAAGACGGAGCGGGGCAGACATGTGGCTTAGGTGCCCTCCGCTCTCCACGGTGGTAGGGCCTTGGAGCCACTGCCAGTCCTGCAGTGTCTGCCTCCCACCCACAGGTGCACACACTTGGCTGAGCAGACAGACTAGGTGATGCCTGCTGGGGTTGCCCACAGCCCAGGGGGCAGGGCACCAAGAAGGTTGTCCTGACTTCTGCACACTCAGCAGGCCTCCACGGTCCTCCCCACCTGGCTCACCCTCCCCCCACACCCTTCACCTCTCAACCCCTCCAGACCCTGCTTGTGCCCAGAGGCCCACCTGAGGCCTCTCTTGGAGCTGCTACCCTTCCTTGTTCCCACGGGCTTGGGCCCAGCCCCACCCGCCAGCCACGCTTGGACTCAGGCTCACTGACCAGTCCTGGCACCGATGCCTCTGCCCATCCCAATGTGCCCCACCACCAGCTTCAACTGCCACCAGCCAGTCTCCCTTTCCCTCAGCTGTTTAAACCAATTCCATTTGCATGAAAAGAGGTGAGACAAAGTCCCCCTCTCACGGGTGATCTCCCTGTCAGCTGTCGGCCGGAGAACTGAGAACATGCGACCACACAGCCCGGAGTCCACCACAGGCCACAGCGGCACTGCTCACAACAGCCAAACAGTGCAAACGACCCAGATGTCCAAACACAGATGAACAGATAAACACGATGTGGTCCATCCACACGACGGAATGTGACAGCCATGAAGCAGGAACAAAGCCCTGACACATGCTACCATGTGGATGAGCCTTGAAAGTGGCTGCTGAGTGAAAGAATCCAGACACTAAAGGTCCCCGAGTTGGGGATTCCACGTGTGTGAAATGCCCAGAACAGGCAAATCCACAGAGACAGAAAGCAGACTAGTGGGTGCAGGGCTGGGGCGGTGACTGGGGAGTGAGTGCTAATGGGGTCAGGCTTTCTTCTTGGGTGATGGCGATGTTCTGGAATCAGACTGTGGTGGGGATGGTTGCACAACTCCGTGATACACTGAAAGTGACTGAACTGTATGCTTTAACACCTGAACTGTATCAAGTGTGAATTATAGCTCCATAAAGTTGTTAAAGGAAAAATCTAAAGAATATACTATCTGCTAGTCCATGAAATCAAGAGTTTGATACATTAACTATATTCTTGCTTAGAACAGTAAAATAATGTTATGTTTTATATATGTGTAAAAATAAACATACTGTGAAATACAAACTCTAAAGTTAAAACATAACCTTTGTACCTAGGTAAATATTTTTATAATATACAGAAAGTAAAGTGTCTGTGACCACAAGGACTGTGGTGAACTCAGCCTTCTGTTCAGCTGTGTGCCCCACACTGGCTGCCCCGTGGCTCCTCCTCACCCATCAGATTGCAGGTAGCAGGGGCTATCCCTCAACTTTCTTGGCAGGCACCAACTGGGGGATGCCTACAGAAGCCCAAACCCCTCTTCCCTGAGCCCCCGAGTGAGGCAGGAGCTCAGCGGGGACTGGGACCGGGGCTTGGGGCATAGCACTTCCCAGTTTATGAGAGGTCTGATGCCACCTGATGTCACACTATACAGAGGGCAGCATCCAAGAAGGAGGGCCTGGGTTTAAATCCTCCACAAGCCCGAGTGGCCTCAGTACCCAGGGGAGCGGGCAGATGCTTGGCCCATAACCTTCCTTCCTCCAGCAACCATGTGGGTGAGCACGGCCTCCAGGAGCCCTCCTCACGAGCACTGCCCTCCCTCCCACTCTCCCCTTTGTTTTCTTGAAAGACAGCGACTTTTATTTTCCGCTCTGGAGGCCCAGGCAGGGCAGGGCTCTCAGAGCCTGGCACGGTGCATGTGACCCAGGACAGGCGGAAGAAGCCAGCAACTAGGCTGCGAGCAGCTGGAGCCCCTCCCCTCCCCCCTAGTCCTGCAATTCAGGGCCTGGAGCCCATTTCAAACCCCACCTTGGGCTGTATGACTCAGCCAATCGCACCTCGGTGTCCTTGTCTGTGAAATGGGCACAAGGACAGTCGCCCTTCTACAGACTACTCCTGAGGAAGGGACCAGGGGCCAGGGGGCTTCATGTTATTGCAGCTTTTCTTCCCTCCCTAGAAGGCCAGAGGAGGGGAGTGGAGCAATGGGGGTCTGGGGGGGCACTTCGGGCCTGCAACAGTGCATCCCCTCTCGCTCAGCCCCCACCATGCTATAGACTTTCCGACCATCACCAGACTGTGACAGTCCTTGCTGCCATGCTGGAGCTGGGAGGGGAGGGAAGGCTGGTTTGCAAATAGTATCTATATAGACATGGTCACATTGCTCCCCTATGCTCCCCAGATAAAACCCCAAGTCCTCACCCTGACCCACAGAGCCCTACCCACTTCTGTGACTTCCTCCGTGGCTCTCCTCTCCGGCTCTGCCTATGGAACATTAGCTCATGTGGCCACAGGGCCTTTGCAATGGCTAGAAGTTCCCTTTGCCTGGCTGGGTTTCTTCCCACTACCGACTCTCACACTATGGGCTTTGATCACCTGCAACATCATCTCCCCAGAGAGGCCTCCCTGACCACTCCACCAACTCCACTGGTCACACAAGCAGCTATTTCACTTTTAAAGCTCCAGCTCTGCATGAGGCATACTCACTAATATGTAAGCTATCTGTGGCAGGCCCTGCCTGTCCTGCCCCAGCATCCCTCACACCCAGGAGGGTGCCCAGCCAGTCATTCACAGAATAAAGAAATAAAGGAGAAACTGTTGCTACATCTCTTTCAAAATTCCAGGGACACACTGAAATAAGCCAGGCGGAGAAAGACAAGTACCATGATTTCACTCATCTGTGGAGTATAAGAACAAAGGAAAACTGAAGGAACAAAACAGCAGCAGAATTAAAGAACCCAAGAATGGACTAACAGTTACCAAAGGGAAAGGGACTGGGGAGGATGGGTGGGAAGGGAGGGATAAGGGCAGGGAAAAAGAAAGGGGGCCTTACGATTAGCATGTATAGTGGGTGGGGTGCACGGGGAGGGCTGTGCAACACAGAGAAGACAAGTAGTGATTCTACAGCATCTTACTACGCTGATGGACAGTGACTGTAATGGGGTTTGTGGGGGGACTTGGTGAAGGGGGGAGCCTAGTAAACATTATGTTCCTCATTTAATTGTAGATTAATGATACCAAAAAAAAAAATTCCAGGGACACAGCAGAAGCTGCACCCCAGCCCCCTCCTGGAGTGACCTCTGGGGGTTCCTAAAGCAGATCCAAAGGAGCGCCACAAGTTTTTCATTAAGCACTTACTATGGGCCTGGCACCAGGCTGGCAGTTTGTGGCTGTGACCTCCACTATTGCAGTAAGCCTGCAAGTGGAGACATGCATACCCGTCTTACAGAAGAGGAAACTGAGGCCCGAGGCAGGAGCTTTCCAAAGTCCCAACACCACCAGACAGTACCCAGGCTCCTTCCCTGAGAAGTGGAGTAAGGACAGCAGGCAAGCCACCTGCAATCAAAGCCACCATCTGGGGTCATCAGTCAAGAAAACTCCCAGGCAGAGCTGGGAGTGATGATTTCACTCTCCCGAAGTCATCCAGGCAGGGGCCAGAAGGAGATACACCTCGTATCTGTCCAGGGGTGCTGCCAGGTGGAAAGGAGGTTGGCAGGCGGGCAGCCAGGATGTGGGGTCGCCTGCAGGCCCACTGGTCCTGCCAGCCCTTCCGGGAGGCACTGGCTGCCAGGGTATACTCTGACGCATCTTGCCTGTGTCCTCCAGCGCCTGCCTGGCCCTGCTTGGCTGTGGCTGAGAGACAGACAGGTGGCAGGCCGCCAGCCAGGAAGAGGTCAGCAGGCTGGCCCGAGTCCAGCCTGGCCCCACGGTGGGGGACCAGCCTCGGTCACTCAGGGTGTGACAAACCAGGTGTTCTGCCTCCCAGCCCAGGGCTCCTGCTCCCCAGGGATTGAATGCTGGACATTCTGTCAGGAAGAGTGGACGGAAGCCAGATCCAGCTGGGAGAGAGGAGGACACATCCCTGGGAGGGGTGGTTGGGGGAGGGGAAGCTGAGAGTGGCCTGTGGGGCTTCAGGTCTGGCCGAGAGGTCCAGGGGGCTGATGGGATTCAGACCTCCCACTGGGAAGGCCATGTGTAACCCAAAACACGGTCTCCAGAAGGCTGCTTATCAGCATGGCTGCCCGTGAGCTCAGCAGTCTTCCTGCAAAGAGCAGGAACATGTGTTTCCATGACTCCATCCCTGCAGTCAGAAGGAGCAGGACGGGGAGCAGCCCCTCCCTGACCCCATTACCCAGGCTCGAGGAGTGAGTGGAGTGGCCGAGGGCCCTTCCCCAGCAGGCCAGGTCACCTTGAGCACTGTTTTCCGAGCTGCGCCTATCAGGCCAAAAGCTCAGGAACTCTGTGCCCTCAGAAACCAGTAGGCCAGGCCTTTGTTTATCAAAGAGCCACCCATTCCGGCTGTTTCTCCCTCAAACGGGGTGAGGTTCTTGGTGGTAGGGCCCCAGGGACCCCCAAAGGAAGCTGAAGACAACATGGCTCACTTCCTTCTGTGGAACATACGGAGACCCAGAGAGCTCTGAATAAATCTGATCTTTACAAGGAATGCTCTAGAACTTGCCATCTTCACATGCCCCAAGGTGAATCATGGGGCAGAGGAAAGGGCTCTGAGTGTGTCGATTAGAAAGTCAGATTTTCCTCCCTCTCACTCTGCCCAGAACTTTTCCAAGAGACAGACGAGAGAAGACAGACCGCACTGTTTTTAGTCAAAATAAAAAGACCCGCCTGCTTCACTAGAAAACAATTCCTGCAGCTATCCAGATGTGAGTGGGAGCAGGTCTCCACACCTCTGCCCTCGGTCAGCCTAACTCAGGCATGCGAGCTGTGGCTCCGGCCGGGGACTCCACATACCTAACATCTTGCCAACGGTGGTTCAAATCCAGCATTCCCTGGGCTTGGGGGGATGGGCACCCATGCCAGGAGCATGGACAGAGGTAAGAAAGGGAGGAACATGCCTGAGGCAGTGGCACCCAATCAGGATGGCATGGGGGTAGCTCCAGGCCACACAGCAGGAGAGAAGTATCTGTAAGGAACCCCTCCTGCTCCTACAGTCCCAACGGCTCAGACGACTTGGGCCGGGTCAGGGGGCCGCACGGTCCTGTGCCCAGACCCTCAGTGGATGGAAGAGGAACCACCAATGACCTTGGGAACCCCTACCGGCCCAACTCCACCACCACCAGCCTCTGCAGACCCTCATCACCATCACTGGGATGTGGCAACTGCCTCCTGACCCGTCTCCTGTGCTTCTCTGACCCCACCAAACACCCCCGATTAACAGCCAGCTGGTGTCAGAGCCTAGGTCACACCCTGCTTTCTCGGGTAGAAGCACCTTAGGTCTCCTCCTCACCCTGAGAACAAAATGCAGCCCCCCAGCCAGCCTGCAGGACCCCACGAGAGCTAGCCCTGCCCCTGCCTGCCCCCTCGCTCCTCACTCAGGCCTGAACCATGAATGTCCGTTCCCACCGCAGGGCCTTGGGACCTGCTGTTCCCACCTTGCAGAGGGTGGAATTGTGTCCTCCACCTGGAAACATGTTCAAATCCTAACAGCCAGCTACCTGTGAGAGTGACCTAATATGGAAACAGGCTCCTTGCAGCTGTGATCATATTAAGGTGAAGTCATTAGGGTCCACCCTAATCCAATGACTGGTGTCCTGACAGGAAGAGGGAAATTTGGGCACAGATGGGGAAAATGCCACTCAAAGACAGAGGCAGGGAATGGAGGGAGGCATCTACAAGTCAAGGAATGCCAAGAATGGCTGACACTGCAGGAGCTAGATAAGGCAAGGAAGGAGCTGCCCCTAGAGCCTTCAGGGGAACACAGCCCCACCCATGCTGTGGTGTTGGGCCCCTGGCCTCCAGTCTGTGGCACTTTGTGCTGGCTAATCCGCACGGCCTGGGACACTCCCGAGGTGTGCCTGTGGCTGCCTCCATGTCCACCTGGGCCACGTGCTCCCTGAAGGTAGGCACAGGGTCGGCCTCCTGCGTCTGGTATACAGTTGGTGCTCAAGGAGCACCTGCAGAGAAGGCAAAAAGGCAGGCCCCATCCGCTCACTCACCTGTGCTTGTCACCTCCCTCCGGCTCGTCCACCTCGTCTGCGCTGCACGTGGCGCTGGAGTCACTGTCCTGGGTGGCGCTGGAGCCCTTGGCTGAGGGGCCCCTGCCCCCAGGGCCGCCACCCTCCTTCTTCTCCCCCTTGAGCGCCCCCTCGGGGACTGCCTCGGCACCGGCTTCTATGCCCCCCTTGCCCTGTTCGGGCCCCTCCTCTGTGGCCTCCTCCTTGCACTCGCTCTTGACTGGCTCTGCAGGGGCCACCTCGCCTGGCTCTTCTGTCTTGCCTGCGTCCACTGCCAGCTCTTGGGCAATGGGAGGCTTCTGCTCCTCCTCCACCGCAGGGGGAACTGCTGTGTCCTCTTCCTCCTTCTCCTCCTTGGGGACCACAGAAGGGGGCATGGGGGGTGACAAGGGTGCTGGAGGGGGTGTGGGTGGGCTGACGGCTTCAGGGGCCAGGGCAGCATCACTGGAGGCCGGGGTATCCTCTGGTGGTGGAGTGGGCGGCTCGGGGAGTGGTGCATTGGTGTCTGGGCCAGGTGGGGGCTTGGGTCCATTCTGCCCCGTGTCCTTAGCAGCCTCTGTGCGGGGCGAGGGGATGCTCTCAGTGTCGGAGCTGTTATTGACAGCAGCTATAGGGGAAGAGCGAGATGGGGATGAGCAGTGCGGGGTGCAGGGTAGAGGCGGCAGCAGCCTTCCCCACACCCTGACCTGCCAGTCCTTGGGGACAGGGGCCCAGAGGCAGCAGCCCCATCGCCTGAGACCAAAACAGCCCAGAGGCTCCTACACACCAGGCACCACAGGCCTTCCCACGCAGGCCTTGGAGCCCAGAGACGTGGTTAACATCTAACCCTGGGGACATGTAGCAGCTAGCAGCCCTATGGAGCCAAACTGAGCATGGCCAGGGCTGCAGGCCTTCATTCTGGGGCTCCACGTTCCCACCTGAGCTCCATCCCTGGCTCTGGCCCTGCTGGGGGCCCAGCCATGGTAACACAGGTCACCCCTGGGCCTTGTGAAAAGCCAGTGGGTATGACAGCACTGGGTGAGGACTGACGACTATTCATTGTCATCACACGACAATGTAAAATGAGGCCCGTGAACTCAGAGGAGCCCAAGGCCCACACTGACTGCATCCCATTCCCCAGGGCCCAGCACACAGCAGTGCATGGTAGGTGTGGATAGAAGGACTGAATATGTATACAGAGGTCAAGGAGACCTTGGCTCCAGGCCCGGCTCTTAAGCCTTAAAAAACCATTCTGGCCATTTCTTTGAGCCTTAATTTTCCATTTTCTGTAAAACAGGGACATTTGAAAACCCCTACACTTGCCATTGAAGAGATCAAATCAGGTAAGAGTCACAGAGGAGAGCACTAGTCTGCAGGAGCAAGCCAGGGAACAGCATGGGGAACAGACACTGTGGTGGGGAGGAGGGTCAGAGGAAGTGGCAACACAAACGGTGGTACCCACAGGCAGAGGCATGCTCACAGAGGTGGAGCCCCCTCACAGAGGACAGGTGATCTTGGGATGCCCCCCACCCCAGCCTGGCCCTCACCCCCAGGCCAGCTGGCTGCATTCGTACCTGGGCCACTGCATTCCCCTCTGGGCACCTCGCTCCCAGAGGCGTGTAAGGCTGGAAGGAAGTGAGAGAAGGGTTAGAAGCAAGGTGACAGGAGCAGCAGCGTGGGGACACAGGAGGTTGGTGGCCAGGGAGGCAGGGCCAGCAGAGGGGCCCAGGGCCAGCAGGCAGCAAGGAGGACCTACAGAGGCTCTGCTAGCCACTCACCAGCCTTGTCCCAAAAGCCCTTACCCTCGGATCCTCTCCCTCCAGACTCTGGACCAAGAAGACCCAGGTGACCTAGAGAGGCCCCAGCCAATAATGGGTCCTGCAGGGCAAGAAGCCAGTCCTGCCTATGCCTGGGCATCCTTGGACAAGTCCCTGGCCTCCAGTTCCCAGCCCTGGGGGTTGGGGTACTGACCTCACAGGTGAGCAGGGCTGGGCAGAGAGTCCTTTGAGGCTCCCATCCCTAGCTCACCCATTGGTCACAGAGCCAGGCCAGCAAGGACTGCTATGGCCCAGACAAAAGCTCCTTTCACTGACCCCACCTGCTGACCCCAGCTGCTCCCAACTCTCACCTTTCTTCAAGGACCAAAGCAGGGGCCACCCCTTCCAATGAAAGCCATAGAGGGCCTACTCTTAGGGACCAAGGTCCATGCAAAGCTCTTCACACAAGATTTGTTTGACCCTCAGTCACCTCTATAGTCAGGACAATCATCACTTGCATTTACAGACAAGGAAACTGAGGCTCAGAGAGGCTAAGTCACTTGCCCAAGGTCACACTACATGGGGGCAGAATACTGCATGGGGGCAGCAAAGGGTTGACCCAGAAGTCTACGTCCCTAACCATTGGACTTTCCACCCCTGCCTGCTCCATCCCACACAATCAGACAGTAGGACATGGGGGGCCAGTGCCAAGACCCTTTGGACAAGTGGCTTAGCCCCCCGTGTCTCAGTATGCTTGCCCACAAAACGGGTAGGGCAGTAAGCGCCTGACTCTTGCTCTCACAAAGAGGCTGGCCTATGTCAGGAGCCCTTAGGCACTAGTATGGGTGGAAGCACCAGAGGGCCATGAACTCAAATGGCTGGGTCTGTCCCTAAAACTTTCTCATTCAGCAGGCCTGGGTGGGGCCTAGGAATCAGCACTTCTGACAAGTGGTCCCCAAACTCCGTGAGCATGGGTAAGCTGCAGCTTCCTCATCTATAAACCAGGGCGGTAAGAGCAGCCACTCCCTAGGGCAGACATGCCCATTGACAAGGCTCCCTCAGGGCTTGGCTCTTATTAGGACCAGGGTCGTTACTGGAGACAGTGAATAAACGGGTCACTACCCCCTCACCCTGAGCTGACTCATCTCAGCCTGGATGCAACAGGCACTTGCCACCTGCCCCTTGGAGGGGTCTGCAATGCCACTGGGGCTGGCTGGGCTTTCTAGCAGGTTCCTTGGGGTGACCTTAGGCCCTAACACAGAACCTACCTCACTTTCCCATCCTGCTCACGAGGGACAGGGTTACAAGGAAATGCTGGCTGGACTGTCAGACTCCAACTCAAACAACTACATGACACTGTATGTAAGTGGGCCTGTTTCCTCATCCATAAGGTGGGAATTTCACCCTGTACCTCTGTGTAGGATTCTTACAGTGACCCATAATCTGCTCAGAGCCACCAGATGGTCACAGCCTCAGCTCCAGCTGATCAGCCCTACCCAACCCCTCCCCAGCAGAGAATGCCCCTCCCTCATCCCTGATGGGGTGTGTGAACGCTAATTGTGACAAGGAGCTCACTACCAGACAATTTTCTTCACTGGGTAGCATCTGTTCTGGTTTTAATGCTGGCCCAAAGCCTGGCTTCCTTTAGCTTTCCCATCCAGCCTGCATCCTGCCCATACGGATAGCTGGGAGGACACTTGGAAACAGATAAGGGGTCTGCCCCTAGGTCTTCTCTTTTCCTGCCTCCAGACTCAGGACCCAGATGCAAGGACAGAGATTTGTAGCTGCCCCATCAGACACTGGCCAGGCCTCTGACTGACTTGATCTGGAGAGACCCAGAGCTGCAAAGAGGCGAGACTCAGAACCCCAGGCCCAACTAGGGGTAACTTCAGACAACAAAAACCCAAGTGGCTCAATTCTCCATTTGCAACCAGGAAGTAGGATTCAGACTGGTGAATACACTGCAGGATAGCACAGTTTGAATTTATTTGCAGGCCTGGCTTGCGGAACCAGGAGGACTGCTGGCAGAAGCTCAGCAGCTGGGAGGCAGACACGAGGAGCAGGAAGGAACCCCAGGCAGGCGGCAGGAGGAAAGAAGATTCTGTTTACCAAGAACCTGAGGACCCAGCTGGGGCAGCTCTGGGCAGGGAGACGACAGAAGGAGAGGGACAGACATTCAGCTAAGCAGGGGCTGGACTCTTCAGGGATGCCATGCCATTGTGGGGAGACACAGCCCCAGGGAAAAGGAAGAAGGCTGGGGGCCAAAGGCAGCCTAATTAGTGATTAGGAGTGTGGGGTGGGGTGGGACACTGGGCAGCCTGGTGAAACTCCAAGTCTACAAACACTTATTGCGCAGTGGGGCCATGTGTTAAATGGGGAGCCAGGCTCTGAAGTAGGTGACAGTCTCATGTGGTCAAAATCCTCCTTTTGATATGGGCATAACCACAGATGCAATTTAGATTATGAATCCTCAATCTTTAGCAGCCAGGTGGGAGGACTCATCTAAGACGGGTGTGGACAGTAACTCAGTGATGCCTGAGCCCAGGCGTTTAGCTACCCCGAAGAGAGAACGGAGAACCATGTACTGTATCATCCAAATGGGGACACCTGGGAGTAAGAGGAGCCATAATTACGTAACTCTTGAATATTTATTGACCAACAGATTGGTCCTACTTATATTGTTGGCTTGTAAAATACTTCAAGTTAAAACTACTTTTCAAAAATAATTTTTTTCCTTACAATGTGACACTACACAGATGGCAAGTCAACAGGGGTTGCTGGGGCTGTCCTGGATGTGTGTGGTCACCAAGGGGGGTCAGGAGGACTGGAGAGGTAAGTACGTGCCAGGTGGGTACAGAGAAACCAATCACCACCACCACCACCTCCTCCACTGTCACGTCCATCACCACCATCATCTCCACTACCACCACCCTCGCTTTCACCACCACCTCCACCACCACCACCCTCACTTCCATCACCCTCACCTCCATCAGCATCACCTCTACCACCAGCATCACCTCCATCACCACCCTCACTTCCATCACCCTCACCTCCATCACTACCATCACCACCCTTTTATGACCCTCAACAGCACCACTCCCCTCACCATCACCATCCCCACCACCATGTTCCCCCATTCGAGGCAGTCAAGGTCCCTACCCAGAAGGACCCAGATATTTCTGGGAGAGGTCAGGTCTAGCTCCTCACCTTCTGCCTCCTCTGCCATCTCCTCCTCATTCCCACTCACGCCCGATGCCTCCATCTCCTCATCCTCCAGCACGGGCGGGAAGGCGGCCTCCTCACTGGCGGCTGGGGCTCTCTTCTTCCTCCTCCGTGCATTCCGCTCCTTCTCCTGGGGCACAGGGGCAGTGGTGGGTGAGGGCCTGAGCCGTGAGCCTGGGGAATCCCCATGCCCAAGGCCCAACCACAGCTGCGAGGGACGGCACTGCTCTCCACGCAGCCATGCAGGCGACCTTCCCTCTCATGCCCACTGCAGTGACCAGACGTGCCTGAAGCTCTTCTGACTGAGGGCTTTACTCTTCCCTCACGTCCCATGCATACCCGAGCAGAGCCTGGCCTACTGGCTGCCCTGACATCTTTCCTCTGCCTGAGACCCCGTGATTGTTCTAGCAGGGCAGTGGCCACATCCCCAAGGACACCCTGATGGGCAGGGTCAGCACGTGCAGAACATAGTAATGAATGGGGTTTCTCCTTGCACATCTCAGCCACCCCCACTGAGCCCCACAGGAAAGGTCAGCTTGGGAAGTTCATTCCACTCCACTAGTCTTTCCAGGGCCCTCCTGTGTGCCAGGTACTGTATGAGGCTGCGGACACACAATGAACCAAGCCAACAAGCTCCCTGCCCCCTGTGGCCTCTAGTCAGGGAAACCAGCAAGCAGCACATGGCTCAAAAAAAATAAAGAACCAGAGGTGGGGACTCAGGCAAGAAGGGGATCAGATGGGTGGGACAAGAGAACACAGGGGTAGGGCTGCTTTAGGCAATAGTCAATGGTGACCGATGGTCAGGAAGGCTTCTTGGAGAAGCCACTACCTGAGCTGAGGTCCCTGAGAATGGCAGGTCAGGCAAGGCTTTGGATATAAGAGTGATCCTAGGGGAGGGGACTGCTGGTGCAAAGGCCCTGAGGTAGGGCCAAGACAGATATGTTCCAGGAACTGAAAAAAGGGCTTCACTGAGGAGCCTTTCCCATCCCCAAGAGTATCCTGTTCACGTGTGGGTGAGTGCCTAGCCCCTAGCTTGGGCACAGACATCACACTCTTCACTGGTGGGGCCCATTTTTGTACCTCACTAGGCTGGGCCCTCTAGGAGGGTGTCCCTTTACCTGCCATACTGAGCCAGGCAGAAGCTCAGAAAACGTTCATTGTTTTATTCAGTGATTGTGGCTGGGCAGCATCTGGGGCCTGAACACTGTTGGCAGAGTTGGGGTATATGTGAGGCAGAATGCTGGGGGGTCTGAAGGTGATGGGGGACTCCAGGGGAGAGTGGAATGGCCCCTGAGAGGAGGTTCAATAAGCTGGTGTAACAGGAGGGTCACAGCCTGTGCCCTTTGGGGTCCCTCAGGAAGGAGTGGACACGCCAATAGCTCTCTGTGATTCTCCTCACACTGGATGGGATAGTGCTCCCCAGAGTTCATGTCCCAAACCTCAGAATGTGACCTTATTTGGAAATAAGCTCTTTGCAGATGTAATTAGTTAAGATGAGGTCATCCTAGATTAGGGTGGACCCTAAATCCAATGGTGGTATCCCTATAAGAAGAGAGAAATTTGGACACTGAGGTACACATGGGAGTGATGCGCCTACATGCCAAGGAATGTCAGAACTGCCAGTCACTGCAAGAGGCTGGGAGAACAAGGCAGGGCCCTCCGGGGAGCCTTCAGAGGAAGCAGAGCCCTGCCCACACCTTGATTTCAGACTTTCAGTGTCCAGAGCTGTGCGAGAACACATTCCTGTTGTTTTAAGCCTCCCAGTTTGTGGTGCTTTGTTATAGGAAGCAGGCAACTAATGCACCTGCCCTCTACCAATCCCCTGGCCACCAGGAGAAAACCACTCTGCATGACAGCGTGGCAGAGCCGGCTCTCGGAGCCAACGCCCTGCCCCCTCCAGGCCTCAGCGGGCTCTGCCCACCCAGCCCTTACCAGGCCAGGCTGGGCACAGGCCCCGGGGGTCCCTCAGCCCCAGCCACAGCCTGGGAGTGGGATCGTTTCCTGGCCGCCTTCCTCCTGAGCAAACGGGAGTCCTGGGAGTCAGGCTGCATGGAACACCAGGAGGAAGGGAAACGTCCGCTTGCCCAATTACTCATCGTTTCCTTCACCAGCACTCGGCCAGGGCCACAGCCCCGCCCTGCCCTGCTGCAGGTCCACGGGGCCATCGTGGGAAGGCCCACGGCCTCCCAGGGCTGGCCGGGTCCCCGCCAAACCTCAAGTTGCTCCCGGAGTGCCGCGGCTGGAGCTCCCAGAGGCGCGAGAAAGTCATGTGGCATTGTGGTTCTGTGGGTGCGGCTAAGGGCTCCCCCTGCTTCCCCAATCTATCTTTAGCATGCAGGACTCACTCGAGTGCTGGGGTTGGGCGACAGCTGGGGGTGGGCATGGGAACACCTGGAGCCTCACAGGGGCCAGGGGCTCCTGAGGACCTGGCCAGGACACACACCCTTCTGGGGAATGAGGTCTCTCTGGACTGTTTGGCAATGTCCCAGGAATTATACAAATCCTTCCACACACGGCCCCGCACCTCAGACTCAGGGGGTATACATATGGGACAGGAGTTGCTGGCGATACTAGTATTAATTACAGCTGATGTTTATTAAGCACCTACTGTGTGCCAAACGTTTTCCACATATTAATTCATTGAACTTGCACAGCTGTTCTGCAAATTAGAGCATGCTGCTCCCCACTTTGAACTCTCCAGGGGTGCCCCCAAACCCTGATACAAAACCACCACCCTCCCTAGTCTACATAGCCCTGTGATCTGGATCTGGACCCCACCCACCTCTCCAACTTGCTCACCCCCCTCCCCTTCTCAGCCACTCTACTAGACACACTGCCCTCCTTGTGCAAACGTGCTTATGCTGACCAGGTCACAGGGCTTCCACAAAGGCCTTCGCGCTGCTGTTCCTCTGCCTGGACATCCTGTCCCCACACCCCCGCTTGACTCACTTTCTCACCTCCATCAGGGCTTCACTCAGACTCACCTCCAATTACCCTGTCAAGATCAGCTGATCTTCAACCCCCATCAAACGCTTTCTACTATTTCCCTCATCATATCATCTTCACACGACCATCTGAAATTATATGCTAATTTGTCTCTTGAACAATAACTAGGCCCTCTAGAGTCTGTCCTTGACTGAATTCCTGGCATACCTAGAACACTGTCTAGCACTGAATAAGCGCTTTGAAACTACTTTAGATGAATGAAGCTGACAGACAAACACACTGGCTCAGAGAGGCAAAGATACTTGCCCATAATCACACAGCTTGTGAGTTGAGGAGCTCAGATTTGAATGCAGGTCAGAACCCTCTGCATGGATATCCTCTCCCTGCAGGTCTGTGCAGCCTCAAATGGAAGAGACAACACAGGAAGGCAAAGACCTGGCCTGGGCTGAGATGGACAGACACAAACATGGACCTGGACTCATAGATAGGAGAAGAGGGTAACCTTCAGCCACAGCGGGTAGGGAAAACCTCGGAGAAGTCACTGATGCCAAGTGTTACATAACTCTGGGACATGACCTGCCCGCCCACCAAATCCTACTTCCTGCTGCTGTCACCTGTGGCCATGCTCAGCCAGGCCTGGTGCAAAGTAGGAGGGGACCCCCACAGACCCTCTGTTTCCCCAGCTCCAGATGGGGCCTGGCCAGTGGCCAGAGGTAGCTGCCACTGCTTCAGGAATCACAAGGACCTATCTTCTTGGGAACTGGAGGGCACAGGAGAGGGGCAGGAAGCATAGATCACCAAGTGTAGTGGCATCTTGTGAGGCCTGCCTGCATACTCCAGTGATGGGGAACTCTCCCAGCACCATGGGTGGTCACCATCAGGATGGATGGACCCAGGGAGAACCCAGCTTCCCACGATGGGTCCCCACATCTGCTCACTATGCTTTCTCTTTACCTCTCAATTTAAGTCTACTCCTTCCACATCAGCCAGGTGTAAGCACCAACCTCACACTCCCAAACGGCCCTTTCCTATCAACTAGTAATCAGCAAGGTCCACCGATACGCTGTCCCTAGAACATGGCTTGCTGGGCCCCCACCTTCCAGTCTACTGCTCACCCAGCATGGCCACTCTGCTGAGTTCTGCGTGAGCCACATGTAGTAATGCAACGACAGGCCCATAAAGGCAAGCCAAGGGCTCCTACAGTCCCAGATTCAAACCTCCTCTGTGGTCTCCTAGCCTCACCATGCTCACCTGAGGAATGCAGGTGACCTCAGGAGGCTGGGGCAAGGCCCAAAGCTGGGCCCGTGTCCCCCTCCTGCTCACACTTCCCCCACTGCTGCCCGCCCACCGGAGCATTCAGGACCAGGGAACGAGGGCAGGCTTCTCTACCAGGTTCAGCTATGGGCCTCTCAGACCAGCATGATCTACCTTGAGCCCAGACCTGGCTGGGCTGCCCCTTGGCTCATAATCCTCTGATGGTTCCTCACTGTCCACTGAAGAGCTGCCCAGCTCCTCAGCCAGCAGGAAACCCCATCCACGTGTACACCCTAGGGCACCTGCCTCCCTGGCATACAGTGGGTGCTCAAAAAAGGCTTGCTGAGGGCACAATGAGGATAATGTCCAACACTTAGTGAGCACTGACTGAGGGACTGTGATCGACCTTTGCAAACAGGAACTCAGCTGTCCCTTATAACGACCCTGCAAATGGACCTAGTCCTACCTCCACTCAGCAGAAGGGGACACAGGCAGAGTGGTGAGACCCTGTGCCTGCAGGCACCAGTCAGGATGTGTTAGGCTGAGCACGCCAGCCCAGAGCCTGCTCTGTACCACTCTGCTAGGTTACCTCCTAATGAATGAGTGGCTAAATGAATGAGTGAATCAATCAATTCATCAGTCAACCAACCAACCAATAATTACTCAGTCAACCCAGGAACAGACATACCATACCCAGCTGACAACAAGGGAGATGGGAGACCCCAGCCAGCGGGCATGGGGTGGCCATGAGCATGGGGCGGCCATGAGCATGCCCCATGGCAGCTCTCACCGAGGCTCAAGATGGTCAGGCCCTGCTCTAAGTGCCTTCCCTGATTCACTCAAGTCATTCCCACAACAGCCCTTGGAGGCAGGCACTACTATTACCCTATTTCATAGGTGGGGAAACTAAGGCAGAGCGGACAAGCCACCTGTCTAAGGTCACACGGTGAGGGAGTTGCAGGATCTGGCTTTGAACCCAGGTTTCTCGGGCCCAAGATCCCTAAATTGGGTATTCCTTCATGCTCTACCCAAGGGAGCACCTCAACTGTCCCTGAGAAGAAGAGGGTCAGTGGCTGTAAGTTATAGTAATCACAAGGTCACCACTGTTACTGACAAGGGTGCTGGTGGGCTGGCTAACCTCAGGGAGGCCCTCTGCCGGGCCCCCAGCTCCTGCAAGCCCACCTGAGCTCCAGGGAAAAGGGCTTATTCCCCCTTTGCAGAATCAAAGGGAGGCTCAATGGGGTAGAGGTGTGGCCCACAGCCCCACTGGTGCCAGGTGGCAAGCCAGGACTACTTGGCCCCACTTTCAACCCAAGCCCGAGCTGCACCATCCACCTCGCTGGGGTCTCTGGTCTCCCAAGGCACACTGTCAAGTCCCAGGGTCCCTGCGACCGCACTGTGAGGAAACCTGGGAGGTGAGGCCGTGGGACCAGCAGGCTGCAAGGGGAGGTGGAGACACCTGCAGCCCAGTAGCCTGGCTATGCCTGCAGTTCCTGTGTGGACACTGGCTGGGAGGAGCAGGGATGGGGGAGGGGGGAGGCCCAGAGCAGGAAGAGGGCAGAGGGAGCAGGGGAGGGAGCAGGAAGACATCTTTCCTTCCCACAGTTAATCCCTGGTTAGTGTACACAGGGCTGGCCCACATCCCACCCCCAGCCTCCACCCCAGCAGGCCTTCTGGCTCAGCCCTGCTCTTTGCTGTAAGCGATTTTAGCAGGTGCTAAAGACAGGTGCTCCGGGCCCTTAGCCCGCACTGTCTTCCTGGTCTGCAGAAACCAGAGTCCTGGAAAATCCAGAAAAAAGGAGAGCTCCTGGTGTCCAAGAGAGCGCTGTCTGTGGCTTCCCAGGAGCACCTCCACCAGACCAGCAAGCAGAGGAGGTGAAGGAGGAGCAGCCTGCAGGTCAGCCCAACCCTGACCACAGGGGCATGGAACAGCGCCCCCTCCAGCCTAGAAGAGCAGCAGCTGTTCAAACACATGATGCGGTAACAACTCACACAGGGGCGCAGGGAAGGGGGTCCCTGAATTCTGAGAGGTGCTCAGGGAGAGTTCCAACGGGGTGATTCTAACCCTAGCCTGCCCACTGCGGTGTGACCTCGGCAGCCTGCTAACCCTCTCTGGACCTTGGCAGGCTGTGTCAGGGGAGCAATTTAGCACGCCTCCCAGGGCAGGCTGCACATGCTTTAAACCCGCACTAAGTAGCCCCATCTGGGGGCAGTGGGGCAAGCAAGGGGGTCCCGGGGTGAGGGGACCTGTGCACCTCCTCTTGCAAGGCAATATGAAGCCTGCTGACTGAATGCGTGCGTCCTTGGGGCAGAGAGCAGGGGGTTCAAACCCCAAGTTTGCTGTGGAGGAGCCTGGCTGAGTCTCAGTTTCCCCAGATCTGAATGACAATGCCTGGAATGTCACAAATGTGCCTAAGAACCGAGAGATGGAGACAGACCAGAGGAGGGGTGGAGAAAAGAGGGGCAGAGAGAGATAAAAAGAGAATGAGGAAGAAAGAGGGAGGGAAGTGGGAAGAGAAAGAGAAAGGGGGAGAGAGAAAAGGAGAGAGACACAGAGGGGGGTGGCAGGAGTGGGGGAGCCCGCCCCCAAATGGCCCCCACTTGCCAGTAACAGCTGCAGAGGAAGCAGGTCTCTCTGAGGAGCCCATTTACAGCCAGGCTCAGCCAGGCGCACCTGCTCCTTCTGGGCTCCTGGGGAAGGGAAAGGTCTGGGCTTCCCCTCGAGTGCAGGGAGGCCAAGGCTGGACGGCTGCTCTCTGACCTGTCCTGGCGTCCCGCCCTAGGTCTGTGGGGTCCAGCAGGGCTGGGGACACACTCCATGGGGCTCATCTGCCTCTGGGTCTCCATTCCGACACTGTGACAACCACCAATCCCGAGCGCGTGGGTGCCTGACCTTCCCTGCTCCTTCCCCTGGGCCCCAGGGGTCAGGTGTGCTGGAGGCAGAGGCAAGAAGCAGCCTGACCAGCAGTTCCTGTGCCCAGGAGGCACATTCTGCAGCTGAAAGCCCGCCCTGGGCCGGGCCGCACAGGGAGGGCTCACCATCTTCAGTTTATGCTGCTGCAGGATGTCGTCCAGGTTCTGCCTCCTCTTGTAGTTGAAGTAGAAGTTCTTACACTGAGACACGGTCTTGGAGCCCACCATCCGAGCGATGGCCGACCAATTCCGGCCGTGTTCCAGGAGACCTGTTGAGGGAGAGGCCAGCAGGTGAGGGGTGACAGAGGCTGGACAGGTGAATGGAGCCCCAGGCAGAAAGCAGCCTTGCTACTGGGCCTGGGAGAAAGGGCGCTCACAGCGTGGTGGGGGCCTGGCCTCCCTTGGCAGCAGGAGGGGCACGTGGTGACTGCCCTGGGGATACCTCTGCTGAGGCAGCCATCAGGGGCTCTGGGCACTGAGGGCTGCAGCCTGGGATGCAGACCCCACGCAGACCCCCACTTCCCTTGGCTGCAGTGACCCAGCACTGACACTTGCTCACAGCTGCAGATGAGGCCTCAAGAGACGGGCTGTTTTCCGGCCGCACCAGGCCAGGGCCAGGGCCAGGGCAAGGGAGAACGTGTGAGCAGGGGTGGGAGGGTGGAGTCTGGGTTGGGGTGAGCTGTGGCCAGGAGGTTCTCCACCCAGGTTAACTGGGGCACCCTTAGGGCTTTGGGCTAAAAACCCACCCTGGACTTGGGGCCCACCAGGCTGGTGCAGGGGCTGGGTGTGGACTTGCTCCCATCTCACATGCCCCCACTTCCGTGAGCTTTTCCAGGCTCCAGGAATCGGCAGATCCCCCACCAAACCCACCTGTGTTGGAGAAACCCCCATCCATCCCCACAAACTCAAATCAGGGCTGTGCTCACCACTCTGTTCCATTAATATCGTAAATACCAGGCTCAGCAGAAATGCAGCCCCTCCTGCAGCCAGAGTCCACGTCTGGGAAGCCTGGCCCCAGGTCCCAGCCCATCTGCCTGCAGAGTTCCCGGCACATAGGCCGGCATCTCTCCGCATCCTTGCCTTGAGCCTCCCGGCAGCGTGCCTTGTATGGCCGGGTCGGCAAGAGCTGGTAGGGCCAGGCCCACTTCCCAATGGCTGCAGGAGGGTCAGGAGAGCAGGCTCCAGACCTCAAGGTCTTGTGGGGCAGGACTGGGCCCCGCAGAGGGCAGCAGGCATGAAGCCTGAGTCACATCGCTAGAAACACAGCGGCCTCTGTGTCCCCAGTGCTAGACTTGTAACAGCTAACCAAAGATTTCCCCTAACGAAGTTTGAGGCCATTTTCCTTGAATCAAATCAAGCTGAAAGCACGGAGGCTGAGGCTGCATTTTGCAGGGGTGCGGGAGCCTGTCAGTCTGTGTTGGCATTTTCTTTCTTTCATTCATTCATCCACTCATCCATTCAAACACATGCCAGTGGCTTGCCACATGCAAGGCTCTAACAAACATGAAAGAGCAGTGAAAACATCAACAAACCCCAGGCCGCATGGCCAGGTGACCTGGGCCTCACCAAGCCCTTCAAACACTTGGTTCTCTCTTATCCTTGCTGCCCAGGCCATGAGTGTCTTCCCATCCCCAGGATGGGGGAAACAGGGCCTCCAGGGGTCACAAGGTTCTGGGACGGCCCAGGGGGCCAGGTGGGCATGGGAACACAGGTTTTCTGCTCTCTCCTGCTTCTGGCCCAGTGGAACGGGGCGGTACTGGACTGACAGGCCACCTGCTCCCCCGTGGAGGACATGGGCCACGTGGCTCCACGGTGGCTCCTCAGGGTTCCTCAAGGACAGGCTGGGAGGGGAGGGCCAGGGCGTGGGACCAAGTGTAACCCAGCCCCCTGACCTTTCCCTCCGCCTGCGCCAGCAGCAGCTGCCACTTGCACAGAGCCCAGCGGAGGACGACAGGGACGTGCGTTTATTTATATTTCCCTGCCGGGGCCAAGGAGCCGAGGCAAACACGTCGGGCCGGAACCAGGCAGGAGAGGACAGGTCTTCCATCTGGGCCTGATGGGGGTGGGGAGGCAGTGAGGGCCCAGAGGTGGCCAGACCCCAGGGGGGTTCCATTTCCAAACAACACACAAATAAGGAGGTGGCTTGGAATCTGCCGGAGGTTTAAGGTCCTTATTAGCTCCACTCCAGGCAGCAGGAACTGCTGGGGGGTCACCCAGCCCTTCCTGAAGGCAATCGGCCCATGAAAGAGTCCTGCCCAGAGCAGCTGTATGCTCCCACCACCCCTCTGCTCTCTGGGGAAGGCTGGGGTGAGGGCCCTAGTATCACCAGCCAGGGCCCCTGGTGTGGGGGCGGGCTGGCCAGAGCCTCCTGCTGGTGTCTGTTCTAGGAATCCCACACTGAAGGTGCTAGGCACAGGGAGAAGCACTTTAGACCCCTCCGTGCCTTGGAGACCACACGAATCAGATCCCACTGACAGCAGTCCCCACCTCCATCCACCTGGACAGAGCACCTCCAAGTGTGGGTCCACCCAGACCCCCAAAGCCTGTCCCAAGTGCAGACCAAGGTCCCACCCTCCTTTCAGAGCCAGACAGCCAGAAAGGCAGGGGACAGTTACCAAGGGAAAAGGTGGGGGAGGGAGTCCATGGGTGCAGAACACCCGAGGCCTGCCTGATGGCCACGGCCAGGTCCATGACACCAGTGCCCAAACACCCGCTACCCCTACCCAGGGCCACTCACTCACATCCTCTCATCTGCGTTTCCCCCTCGGCCAAGTTTTCCGGAAACATAAGGCTTGGAGGATGCTCTGGGGAGCAGAGCTGGAGCAGCGGGCTGGGAGGCGGGAGGCTGGGCGGCGGTGCCGGCTCTGCGAGGCTCCTGGCTGGCGTCTGCTCACAGCTCAGCTCTGCCTCACATCCTTCTCGTCCAACGAACGGCAGGAGGGAGGGAGGGCGGGCGGGCGGGCGGAGGCTGGCTCCAGAAGGGCGGGGAAGCAGCTCCACACAGTCCGCCCGCCTGTGGTGGCCCAGGGCTCCTGCCACCCCTGACGCCGTCCCCCGTGGCCACGGGCGTGCGAGGTGCCCTTCGCTGCGGGAAGTTGTCAGTTGTGTGCTCGTGCCCCGTGCCAGGCGTCACCAGGGTGCGCAGTGTCCTCAGCTCCTCCAGGCACCAACGTGCCCAACACAGACACTGACAAGGGGAGCTGGCCGGAGGCCTCCAGGCTCCCAACACCCCTGCTGGGTGAAATCCAAAGACCCCAGCCTGACGGGGCAGCAGCGCCCCGGAGCAGCCTCGTGGCGCGCCTGGGCTGGGCTGGGCTGGATCTTCCTGCTGCCTGACCCAGCGAGACGCCTCGTCAGGGCTGAATGTGACCTCCAGACGGAGGCTCGCTGGAGCGGGCAGGCGGGCGGGGGAGCGTGGCAGAAGCCCAGGTTCAGAAGGGGCGGGCCGACTTGGCACTGGCTTCCCCCTCCCTCTCTCCCCATCCGTGGCGGTGGCGGCGGCGTCAGCAGCGGTAAGAACAGATGAGGGTTCAGAAAAACAGAGCTTCTCCGCCCCAGCAGACGGGGAGCAAACAGCTTCTTCCGCTGTCATTCCCTGCCCCGGTTCCACCTGTGGTTGGCCCCCACCGGCCGGCCACTGCCACGGCTGGCCAGCCGTCCGTGGGGGACTCTGGAGGTCTGGGACGGCAGGAGGGGTCCGGGCACTCCTCCCAGCACCCACAGGGCGCGGGTGGGCAGGACTGGCTTAGGTTCCAAGAGGAAGCTTAGGATTTAAGGAGCCTCTTTGAGTGCAAATGAGACCTCCAACCATTTCGGGTGGGGAAGGGTGTGGAATCCCCAAAGGGCTTTCTGCTGCCCCAGGCTCTCCAAGCAGGTCAGCCTGTTCCCCACACAAACACCTGGTAGATGTCCTAGGCAGCTCACAGGAGGTTGAAAGTTAACTGCAGTGAACTTTGGAGCTAGATATAGGTCACAACCGATTTCTTCAACTCCGGGGTCACTGACCTGCTTGTTCCTTTAGCCCTCAGCTTTCCCATCCTGCCCAAGGAGACCCAAGGAACAACAGGCATCTCCTAAACACCCCTGTACTTCATCCTGGGGCACAATGCCAGGAGAGGGCAACAGGCCCCAACCATGGCAGGGGCCTAGGACTTTCCACCCAAAGCCCACCACCCATTCTCCTGAGAGAGGTCCAAGTGAGCTTGCACGGATGCCAAACCAATCCTGACACTCCTCTGCTTAAAATCTTCCAGTGATAACCCAAGAAACTCTTAGAATAAAATCAGAAGGCCTCAACATGGCACCTGAGGCCCTGCAGAACCAGCCCCACCCACCTGTTCAGACTGCTTCCTACCTTTCCCCTTGCCTCACTCACTACAGCCACTGGGACCTTATGCCCAACCCTCAAATGTGCTCCAAGACATCTGCACTAGCTGTTGCTTCCTCTGTGTGGCTTTTCACAGATCAGCCTCTGTCCTCATCAGCTCTTAACTCAAGTGATACCTCCTCAGGGAAGCCTTCCTTGACTACCTTCTCTAAAGATGTCTATTAGCCACTCTGCTATCAGAGGTTTGTTATCTTCAGACTGCTCACCACTCCCCAAAATTAGCTTCTTTGCTCCCCTGCTCAGTAATCAGTCTCTGCATCCATCCACACTGCTGGGTGAAGAAGAGGAATCTGGCAAATGAGCAAAGCTCCAGACACCCCAAGTGTCTGGGTCTGGGGGCCCACTGAGGGCCCCACAGCATCTCTGCCACCTTTCTGGGGTTCCCAGGAAGTCCCAAGAAAGGAGGGGGTTGAGGGTTTATTCCCACAGGGTGCCCTGGACCCTCTCCAGAAGGGGCCTCAGGGAGTGCCCATTTCACACCCAGGGACACATCCTCACACACTCTGTGCCAGTGCACAGATGGCAGATTCTGCCGACGTCCCCTGTGGTCTGGATTCCCCGACCCCACTTCTAATTTCTAAGGAAGGAGTTTCGTTCTGAAGAGTCAGGAGGCAGGAACTAGGAAGCGAAATTGACCAAGACAGGAAGTCAAGCCAGCAGGTCTGAGTCACGGACTCAAGTGTGGAATGAGACGAAGGCGCAGGGGGTGGTGGCAGGGATCGCAGCAAGAGGGGCTTCTCTCAGCACGGTGGCTTGGGGGCTCGGCCTGGCTGCTCTGGCCACCACAGGGGCAGCTTCCCATGCACTGTCCAGGGGCCTGCGATGAACTGTTCTCAAAGGGACAGTGACTCAGCCCCCAGAGGCTTTTGTCCCTGCCAAGTT